CTTCTGATGATGAATTTACCAGTGAGCTGAACAAAACCTGTATGGCCTGATTCTATAAGTAGTAAAAGTATTCACTAGGCCCTCTTGTATATGACAGGAATAGAGTAATAGATGAGACAGGCAAGGGCCTGCCCTCAGAGCTACCAGTCTAATAATTCACGATGAGTCTGGAAGTTTGTCAATTAAGATCTTTGGAGCCCGGGCTGGGACTGTGGCTTGATGGTAGAGTGCTTGCCTAGCATGCATGAAGCTCACTGCCACATAAACAGAAAAAGCCAGAGGTGGCGCTGTGGCTCAAGTGATAGACTGCTAGCCCTGAGCAAAAGAGGCTCAAGAACAGTGTCTAGGTCTTGAGTTCAAGCCCCAGGACTGGGGGGAAAAAAAAAGTCTTTGGAACAAGCTATGGGAGCTCTTGCATGTAATCCCAGCTACTGAAGAGGCAGAAATCAGGAAGATCACTTTCCACACCATACTGGGGTGGAGGTGAAAAAGTTAGCAAGATCCAATCTCAACAAATAAGCCCAGCAAGGTAGAGCATCTGTAATCCCAGGCACCAGGTAAGACTGTGGTCCAGGCTGGTAGGGTAAAAACATGAGACCCGGTGAACCTGTGGCTCAAGTAGAAGAGGGCCAACTTTGAGAAAAAATAAAGGATAGTGCCTCTGATTTCAAGTCTCACTACTGGTGTGTGCGCGCACGTACACACACACACACACACACACACACACACACCATAGACGCTATTGAAAAATAACTAAAGCAAACAAAAGGGGGAGTGGGGATGTTGCTCAAGTGGCCATACTGTAATACAGCAGCAACTTGACCTAAACTAGCATAAATAAAGGGAGATTGTATCTGTGCCAGGTACTGAAACTTCAAGGCATAGATTTTTCAACCTTCTCTCAGTCCTCCTCCACTCTCTATGTGCTTTATTCAGGCTCCCAGCAAGAGAAAGAGGGCAGTGAGCTGTCTTGTTTCAGTCCTCAAGTTCAAAAACAGATCTGGGGGTGTGTGGAGGGGAGGGGGGTGTCTCAGGTATCTGCTTGCCTGTGATAGGGTCATTTGCTCATCCCTGTTACCAATCACAACATACATAGGAATATCCTGCTCTGATTGTCCAGGCCTTAACACTCACCTGAAGCATGTGGATTGAGCAGGGAAACCTGACTGGTTACTCAGAGGAAACCAAGATTCTGTTTAAAAGGTGTTTGCCTAGGGCGCTGATGGCTCATGCCTGTAGTGCTGGCTATTCAGGAAGCTGAGATCTGAGGATGGCAGTTCAAAGCCAGCCCAGGCAGTAAAGTCAGTGAGACTCTCATAACCACCAAAAAACTGGAAGTAGTACTGTGGCTCAAAGTGGTAGAGAGCTAGTCTTGAGTGAAAAAAAGCTCAGGGACAGTGCCCAAACCCTAAGTTCAACCCCCATGACCAACAAAAATAATTAAATAAATAAATAAATAAATGTCTGCTGATGATGAAAAAGAAAGAAGTCCTTTACAGAAATTAATAAGTCACAGGGGCTGGGAAGGTGGCTCAGTGGTAGAGCACTTGCCTTGCATGCATGAGGCCCTGGGTTCGATTCCTCAGCACCACATAAGCAAAAAGAAAAAAGCCAGAAGTGGCGCTGTGGCTCAAGTGGTAGAGCACTAGCCTTGAGCTGAAGAGCTGAGGGATAGCTCTCAGGCCTAGAGTTCAGGCTCCATGACCAGACCCCCCCCCAAAAAAAAGAAATTAATAAGTCATAGGAATAGTAACAACCATAATTAAACCAACCAATTGCTTATGAAGGGAAACTCGAGAGGTATGGGATAAGAGATGCCCAAAAGCTCAGTGGAGGAAAAACACTGATACTTTTCGTGCTGTTTTACTTTCACCCTTTAGTTTGTTTTTTGTACTGGGATCTGAACTTAAGGCATCACACTAACCTTGCTTGCCACTCTCCTATTTGAAGACTAGAAGTCCTTGATGACATTCCGGTGTAGAATGATGAAATAATTGCATTAAGGGGCTGGGAAGGTGGCTCAGTGGTAGAGCACTTGCCTCGCATGCATGAGGCCCTGGGTTTGATTCCTCAGCACCACATAAGCAGAAAAAGCCGGAAGTGGCGCTGTGGCTCAAGTGGTAGAATGCTAGCCTTAAGCTGAAGAGCTGAGGCATGGTGCCCAGGCCCAGAGTTCAGGCCCCACAACTGACAAAAACAAAAACAAAACAATAAAACGATCCATCGGGGCTGGGAAGGTGGCTCAGTGGTAGAGCGCTCGCCTTGCATGCTCGAGGCTCTGGGTTCGATTCCTCAGCCCCACATAAGCAAAAAGAAAAAAAAAAGCCGGAAGTGGCGCTGTGGCTCAAGTGGTAGAGCGCTAGCCTTGAGCTGAAGAGCTGAGGGACAGCGCCCAGGCCCAGAGTTCAGACCCCACGACCAGACCAAAAAAAATAAATAAAAACGATCCATCCAAGAGACAGAGCTAGTGGTTAGCCTTAAGCAAAAGAACTCAAGGACAGTACCCAGACCCTGAGTTCAAGCCCCATGACTGCCAAAACAAACAAACAAAAGATCTATGAGGGCTGGGAGCAGCGGCTCATATCTGCAATCTCAGCTACTAGGCAAGCAGAAATAGGAGGATAATTCAAGGCCAGCCTGGGCAAAAAAGTTAGTGAGTCCCAATCTCGATTAACATGCTAGAAAAAGGAATCATATTTGTAATCCTATCTGTTTAAGAGGCAGAAGTAGGGGGATTACCGTTAGAGAACCACCTGGGCAAAGCACAAGATATCTGAACAAACTTAAAGCAAAAGGACTGGGGGCCAGGCTTACATGGTAGATCCCCTGACTAACAAATACAAAGACCTGAGTTCAAGCTCTGGTACCACCACCAAATAAACAAGCAATCCACAACCGCCCCGCACAGTGTCAAATTATAGGAGGAAAGAATGCAAAACTACAGCAGCAACCATGGCAGAGTGTGGCATGGCCTGGGTTTCAGCGCTGGGATTTAACCAACGGGACCTCTCAGGGCAGGAGGAGCAGCAGTGCTCGGGCACCTGCAGGCCGCTGGTGCCAGGAAAGAGCAGAGGCAAAGTGCGCTGCAGTTTGCAGGCTCTGGTGTGGATTCTCAGGCCCCAGTAGTCTGTTTTTCTGGGAAGCAACTTCTCCTTCCACAGAATCAGTGCCGTTCTGGCCCCGTGCCAGCCCCAGAGGCTCTCAGGGTGAGGAAGTGTCTGTCCATCTGTCTGCCTGCGGCTCCTCTTCTTCCTCCTCACGATTCTCCCCTGTGTCCCCCCTCCCAGCTCTCTCCCAGGACTGTCCTCTATCCAAGTCTACTGCTGGTGTCAGCAAATCTTACCTGTGACCAGAAGAAGGAAGGTGTGAAGTTGTGAGGTCATCTTAGGCACTCCTTCAAGTCTATAATCATCATCATCATTTACTCTGGCGCTAGTACTGAGGCTTGAACGTGTGGCCTCACATTCAGCCTGTTTTTGCTCAAGCCTGGCCCTCTATCACTTGAGCAGTGACTACACTTCCAGCTTTTGGGACTTTATTAACTGGAAGATAAAGAGCTTCTCAGATTTGCCTGCCTGGGCTGGGTTGGACCCTCAAGCCTCAGATCTGCCTTTTGAGGAGCTAAGATTACAGGTGTGCCCGTCGGATCCCTGGCTCAGCACTGTCATTAGTTTTTTTTTTTTTTTTTCTTTCGGGCTGGTCTGCCCGGCGTAGCTCAGGCCAGCCTCCAGCCCGGGCTGCGGGGGCCACTCACGGGGCCGCCCCTGCACCCAGCGCGACCCGGCCCAGCCCAGCGAGGCCCAGCCAAGCCCAGCGAGGCCCGGCCCGGCCCAGCGAGGCCCAGCCAGAGCCCAGCGAGGCCTGGCCCGGTCCAGCGCGACCCGGCCCAGCCAGAGCCCAGCGAGGCCCAGCCAGAGCCCAGCGAGGCCCGGCCCGGCCCAGCGAGGTCCAGCCAGAGCCCAGCGAGGCCCGGCCCGGCCCAGCGAGGCCCAGCCAGAGCCCAGCGAGGCCCGGCCTGGTCCAGCGCGACCCGGCCCAGCCAGAGCCCAGCGAGGCCCAGCCAGAGCCCAGCGAGGCCCGGCCCGGCCCAGCGAGGCCCAGCCAGAGCCCAGCGAGGCCCGGCCCGGCCCAGCGAGGTCCGGTCCCCCTGAGCCCAGCGCGCCCCAGACACGTTGTTAGCTGATTGTAAAGCGAACACCCGATATTTCCCGTGTTTTCCCCGCTGCGGTGCCAGGCAGGCGCCCCGCCGCCGCCGAGGTACAGCCGGGCTCCCGGTTAAGTTAAATAAATAAACGTGTGCCGCGGGGATGGCGCCCGGGATCCCCTCATCCACGACCAAGGACCTGGCAGCGGGGCGATGGCGGGCGCGGCGGAGACCCAGGCGGCTCCACGCGGGCGGGAGGCCGGCGGCGGGGGGCGGCGGGGGCTGTCCCGGCGCGGCCGGGGGCGCGGGGACCCCCCCTTATTCACCGCCGAGGTCGTGGCGGAGCCTGACTCGACCCCTCCCTGGCGGCGGCGGGCCGGGGAGGGGCCGGGCCGGGGGGCCGCGCGTGGGGCTGCGGGTCCCGGGCGCGGAGGCGCGGTGCTGGGGCGGCGGGCGGGGCGCGGGCGCGGCGGGCCCGGGACGCCCCGGGCGGCGGGAGGGGGCGCGGCCCTCGCCGGGCGGGGTCGGGCGCCGCGCTCCGCGTCCCCGCGGGGGAGACAGCGCGGTGACCCTCCCAGCCGCCGCCGCCGTCGCCGCCGCCGCGCCCCCGGGCCGGGCGCCCCGCGCCAGCCGGGCCTCGCCCCGCTCCCATTCCCAACTTGGGAGGCGCCGCGGGGCTGCGCGCGCCCGCCCGCCCGCCCCGCGCATCCCCGCGCCGGAGCCCGCCGCCGCCGGAGCGGCCGGGGCCGAGCGGGACCGCGCATCCCCGCGCCCCCGCCGGAGCCCGCCGCCGCCGGAGCGGCCGGGGCCGAGCGGGACCGCGCATCCCCGCGCGCGCCCGCGGCCCCGGGAGCGCGGACCGCCCAGCCCGGGGAGGGCCCGGCCGGCGCGGCCTCGGCCGCCCCAAGTTTGGCAGCCGCACTAGTCGCCGGGCGGCGGCGGCGGCCGGGCCGCCATGGAGGAGGAGCGGGGGTCGGCGCCCGCGGGGTCGGCGCTGGAGAAGAACGTGGCCGAGCTGACCGTCATGGACGTGTACGACATCGCGTCGCTCGTGGGCCACGAGTTCGAGCGGGTCATCGACCAGCACGGCTGCGAGGCCATCGCGCGCCTCATGCCCAAGGTCGTGCGGGTCCTGGAGATCCTGGAGGTGCTGGTCAGCCGCCACCACGTCGCGCCCGAGCTGGACGAGCTGCGCCTGGAGCTCGACCGCCTGCGCGTGGAGCGCATGGACCGCATCGAGAAGGAGCGCAAGCATCAGAAGGTGGGCGGGGGCCGGGACCCCCGGGCGGGGGCACCCGGCCGAGCTGGTGGCCCCGTGCCCTTGGCCAAGTTGCTTAACCTCTCTGGGCTTTGTTTTTCCGCTCCGTGCCGCTGTGATCACAATGGCATCCCTCCGCGGAGAGGGCCGGGGGAGGGGTGGGGGGGGTGATCCTGGTAGTGATCCTCCGGAAGTGAAAACACTCCCCAGAAAGTGTGGCCCAGTAATCCATCCACCCCAGATCTCCCGCCCAGAGCCACGAGATGACCTCCAGCGGGGGCCCAGGCTGTGGGTTCACCTTCGCAACTGTCTCCCGGAGGACCCGGTTCTGTTAGCGGGTTCCCTGAGGGAAAACGCTTCCTGCCTTCCTTTATCTCCTGGAACTCGGGAGCCACCGAGGAGGAAACGGAAAGATTCGGGGTGGGAGAGAGAGGGTCCCGGCCCCAGGGGAGGTGATTTACGTGGGGACAGCTTTAAGGCCAAGTGTCCACCTGGAGCAGAAGTCTGGGAATCCCAGCCTCCCCACTGGGAGAGAGCAGAGGCGCCTGGGGAGAAGGAAGTGGAGACGCAGTTTCCTGCCCCAGCCTCAGCCCCGCTCCTGTCAGACCCTTCCGACTAGACTGAGAATGGGAGGAAATGGCTATCCTTGGGGAGCTGGAGAAGGGCCTGGCTTGCTGTGTGGATTCTGGAAATACAATTGGCCTCTCTGAGCATCCCTGTCAGGCCATCCCCCATTGGGCACTGGGATGGATAAGTGTGTTTTCAAGGAAATTGGCCCCAGCTGGGTGTGCTGCGTTTAACCTGTGTGCCACAGACCGGTCTCAGTGTGTGCAACCTCAGGGTCCCCTATCCTGGAGTCAAGAGGGACCCTCGCTCCTGTGCCGGTGCCCGTGGCATTGCCCAGGTCACACGGCTGAGTTTCCTGCAGGCTGTGTGTGCATGGCGTATCACCTAGGCACTCTGTTCCTCAGTCTCCCCGCTGTGAACGGGATAATCCTAGCCTGTGTCTTGTTGGGTGGTGGGGAGCATGGGGGTTAGTTTACACGGAGTACTGTGGCCAGGGCTTAGCTGTGTCTCTTGTTACCTGAGACAGGACAGAACCGTAACTGGACTGTCCACAGGCTGAGACCCAGACACCTTTGCCTCTCTCCTCCCTCCTGGGGGACCAGGAGGAAGAGGCTCTGACCCCCCCATGCCCTGTCCCCACCCAGCAGCACCCTTGCTCACCAGGACTGAGGTCCAGTGACCAGCCAGCCAGCCGCACCTGTTGCTCTGTGAAGCAGACAGCCAGGAAAGCAGCCACGGGGAACAGCCAGGTGCTCCCTGAGGGGCCTGGACAGACCCTCAGCCCTGCAGCCCTGTGGTGGGCACCCTGGTCAGAGAACCCTCAGTGAGGCCCGAGGTACAGAATGAAGCCCAGCACAGCCCTCGATGGACGGCAGGCGGGGCCCAGGCCCAAGGCAGAGCAAGCAAGTCCCCAAATGCACTTCTCAGAACTGCTGGATGTCCCCAGTGTGGCTCAGGCCACTGGGCAGGAATTTAGATTTTTTGGGGGGGAGTCCAGTCGTGGGGCCTGAACTCTGGCCTGGGCACTGTCCCTCAGGTCTTCAGCTCAAGGCTAGCGCTCTACCACTTGAGCCACAGCGCCACATTCGGCTTTTTTCTTTTTGCTTATGTGGTGCCGAGGAATCGAACCCAGGGCCTCAGGCATGCAAGGCAAACGCTCTACCACTGAGCCACCTTCCCAGCCCCTAGATATTTTATACTCGTTTTTTGTTACCATGTTTTTGCTGTCTAGCCTGTACTTCCCCGGCCTCATGCTCGCATCTAACCGCTTTGCGCTCTGACTGATAGGACTCGGACTAGATAGCCCGAGGAGGGAGATTTTTATTTTATTCAAATTATTTTCCAGGTACTGGTGGTTCATGTCTGTAATCCTAGCTACTCAGGAGGTTGAACAGGAAAATCCATGAATCTCATTTCTCTAATTAACTACCCAGAAAGCTTGAAATGGAGAGGTGGCTTATGTGGTAGAGCACCAGCCTTGAGCAACAAAACTGAGTGAGAACTAGAGACCCCGAGTTCAAGCTCCAGTATCAGCACTATTAAAAGGAAGAGAAAAGCAAGCTGAGGTTCAAGGTTGGCTCAAGTCATCTCCAGTGACTGCTGGGAGCAATCTCCACATACTTAGTGGCTCCAAGCAGCAGAAATTGATGCTCACACAGCTAGTATGTGCTATGAACCAGGGAGCTACCGTGTGGGGCCAGGTGTGGACCCATGTGGGTAATGACTGTGCATAACACCCCGTGAAGACCCAGGGGTTTGGGGTCAGAAATGGGTCTTACTGGGTTTCAGGGGAGCTCAGTTTTAGGATCGGGGCTTCGCATCCTTAAGGCCCTGGCTTCCACCCTAGCATCTCAATAAATGATCATAATAGAGGCAGACACCGGTGCCTCACTCATCTTCCTAGCTACCTGGGAGGCTGAGATTAGAAGGATCACCATTCAAGGCCAACCCAGGCAGAAGAGTTTGAGAAAGTCCTTCTCAACTGATAGCTGAGCATGGTGATGCGTGCCTGATCCCAGCTATCATAGGAAGCCGAAAATAGGTAGAAATGAGAAATGAGACCCATCTCGCAAATAACCAGAGCAGAGAGGGCTAGGGGTGTGGCTCAAAAAGAACAGACCTGCAGGGGTGAGGCCCTGAGCTCAGATTCTCTACGGCCAAAAAGTAAAATAATAGGGCGGGGGAGGTGGCTCAGTGGTAGAGCGCTTGTCTTGCATGCATGAGGTCCTGGGTTCGATTCCTCAGCACCACATAAGCAAAAAGAAAACCGGAAGTGGTGCTGTGGCTCAAGTGGTAGAGCGCTAGCCTTGAGCTGAAGAGCTGAGGGACAGCGCCCAGACCCAGAGTTCAGGCCCCATGACTGGACCCCCCAAAAAAAAAAAGTAAAATAATAACAGTAATAAATATAAGGTGTTGGACCTGGGCCAGCTGGGAGCAGTGAGGGGTGGAGTGTGGGGAAGGTCATGTGACCTGTCTATCATTCTACCACTTGTCATCCAGCCTGGCTGTTCCCTCTGGTGACCTTGGAGCAGGGCGTGGGCACTGCATTGCCCCTCCTTCTCCTTCCCCCTGCCACCGGCTGCCTGGCAAAGCAGGGGTTTGGAAAGTTATTTAGGAAGTGAGTGCCGGCTACACTAGACATCCGGCCACCTGTCAGCTTGTAGGAAGGGCCAGGATCAGTGGACGTGTCTGAGCCCCTTCTGGGTGCTGGACACTGTTTCAAACCATTGTGTAGAGTAATGGTCTGCTTCCCTTAGCCGCCCTTAGAGGAGGAGGCTCCGAGGCTTCCTCACTTCCCGGACAGGAAGGGTTGAATCACTTGTTCAGGCCCATCAAGGGCAGCTCTTCAGCTAGTGACCAGCTCTTGAGTGGCAAGCAGGGACAGGACTCAGGGAGGGTGGACAGGCTCCGGGCTGCAGGCTTCCCCATTACCAAGTATCCTTTGTTTTGTTTGTTGCTGATACCAGGTCTTGAACTCAGGGTCTGGGTGCTGTCCCTGAGTTTTTGAGCTCAAGACCACTGTTCCACCACTTGAGGCACAGTTCCACTTGCAGCTTTTTGGTGATTAACTGGAGATAAGACTCTCAGATATTGTCATTCCAGCTGACTTCAAAGCATGATCCTCAGATCTCAGCCTCCTGAGTAGCTGGGATTGCAGGCCTTGGGTCTTGTGGGGAAGGACACAGCTAGCCCCAAGCCTCACCCATCTAGGCTGCTTCATCTGGGGGGGGGGGGGGCAGAGGAAGCCGCTGTGCTGGGCAGGTTGTGACCCTGGCTGTCCCCCGGCCCGGCAGGAGCTGGAGCTGGTGGAGGACGTGTGGCGTGGGGAGGCCCAGGACCTCCTCTCGCAGATCGCCCAGCTGCAGGAAGAGAACAAGCAGCTCATGACCAACCTCAACCACAAGGATGTGGGCTTCTCTGAGGACGAGTTCCAGAAGCATGAAGGTAAGGCTGGCTTGATCCTCCTGCTTGGTCACTGCCAAAGCATTTGGCTCCTCTGGGCCTGTAGGTGTGAAGCCACTGGCCAGAAAGGAGGAGTCTGGCCTCTGTCTATAGATGATACCAGCTGTGACACATTCCCCTCCCCAGAGTCGGGCTCAGACCTAGCCCTCCCGAGGCTCACGTTTGCCTGTCAGGTGATCAGGGTGTGAACTGATACATGGACGGCAGGGCACCAAACGGTCAGCAGGTGGACACGCTGAGGCAGGGCGCAGGGCACGCCTGGAGCTGCCTTTGGTACTAAGGCCCCAGCGCAGTCCTGACCAGCTGACACAGTGAGCCATGCAAGAACCGTGGGCAAGAAGCAAATACAAAGCCAGGCACCGGGGTCACACTTATCATCCCAGCTACTCAGGAGGCTGAGATCTGAGAATCGAGGTTCAAAGCCAGCTTGGGCAGGAAAGTCTGAAATTTTTTTTTTTTTTTTTGTTGGTTGAGGGGCTTGAACTCTGGGCCTGGGCGCTGATCCTCAGCTCTTAAGCTCAAGGCTAGCGTTCTACCACTTGAGCCACAGCGCCACTTCTGGTTTTTTTATTTTTCTTTTTTTTTTTTTTTTGGGTCCGGTCGTGGGCCTGAACTCTGGGCCTGGACGCTGTCCCTCAGCTCTTCAGCTCAAGGCTAGCGCTCTACCACTTGAGCCACAATGCCACTTCCGGCTTTCTTTTCCTGCTTATGTGGTGCTGAGGAATCGAACCCAGGGCCTCATGCATGCAAGGCAAGCGCTCTACCACTGAGCCACCTTCCCAGCCCGAGCACCTTTTTTGTGTGTGATTTTATCCATTAATAGAAGATCAACTTCCCAGTAGAAGATGAATGATGCTGGGTATTAGTGGATTATGCCTATACTCCTAGTCAGGAGGCTGATCTGACAACCCAGATACGAAACTACCCAGGCAGACAAATCTATGAAACTTCTGGGCTACATAGCAAGACCATGTGTCATAAAACAAGAAAGGAAGAAGAGAGGGAGGAAGGGACCCCACACCTTTCAGCTCTAGTTGCCGCCTGCCCTGCCCATCCTGGCTCCAGCCTTTCCGTTTCTCCCCATGCACCTGCCCGCCCTGGAGGTTTTGAGGAGTGGTGGCCTCCGGGGTGAGGCCTTTTGCATCTGGCTTCTTTGCCTTAGCACAGTGTGTTTGAACTTCCTCTCGGTTTGCTATGGCAGTGATTGTTTGGTTCCATAGGACAGGTCACAGCAAGGGTTGTACTGTTTTGTCTTTCACTACTGTAAATCGTGTGCCAGTGAGCAGTGAACATCTTTCTACCTGCACCGTGCAAATACCTTCCCTCTTTGAGAGGTGGACCGAGGATGCACCTGCTGGGTCATGGGGGAAATAAGCTGAACTTTTGTTCAGCTGAACAAAATAAGCTTAACACATGTGTGTGCATGTGTGCCTGTGTCAGTACTGGGGCTTGACCGCAGGTTCTCTTGCTCTTCCTCATGGCTGATGCTGTACCACTTAAGCCATGCCCCAGGATAGCATGTTGCTGGTTAGTTGGAAATGGAGTCGTCCAGACTTTTTTGCCCAGGCTGACTTTGAACCTTAATCCTCCGATCTCAGTTTCTGGAGTAGTCCCTGATGCTGGCTCTGTCATCCCCTTTTGTTGGTGATATTCCCACAGGGCACAGGGGCCTGGGAGGTGACCCACGGAGTCTAGGGCCCCCAAGCTATGGTCTCAGAAGAAGCTCTCAGCCGCCTCGCATCTGCGCGGCGTCCTCTGAGCTCAGCTTGCTTTGCTCCCCAGCTCTCCCCGTGATGGCTGGGCTTGTCAGGCAGCAGCCCACACGTGTGTGTGCTGAAACCTTCTCGAGGGGCTTTCGGTGGGGGTCCCGCCGGCTCCCCAGGAGGACGCATCGGCAGCCGCTCGAGCCGGCCCCCACTGCAGCCCCTGCCAGGCCGGCGAGGCTGCCAGATGCCAGGCCTGCCTGCTTGGTTATTTTTATTTTGCATGGAAACCGTGGGAACACAAAGACAAGGCATCTCCTTCTGCTAGAGGAACAGCGGGCCCGTGGATCCCTGGGAGAAAGGAGCAGCCAGGATGGTGGGACTGCGCCCTGGTGGGACCCGGAGCAGGTGCAGGGCAGCGGCTAGGAGGTCTGAGGATTTGGGGGTCTGACTCCTGGTGTCGCTGTGGGACATGCTTGCGCGGCCCCACTGGGCAGTCATGGGCACTGTACTCAGACCCCCTTTCACCACTTCCTGGAAGCTTCCAGATTAAAAAGCACCACCCTGTCCCCTGATTTTAGAACCATCTTGTGAATTGGCTGGCACCCAACAGAAACTACCTGTTAGCCAGGGGCAGGGAGAATCACTGGTGTCTCAGTATTGGACTGGGCAAGTGGGGTACAAAGAGAAGTTCAAAGGACTTAAAACCTCCAAGCCCGAAGGGAAGCCGGCCCCATGTTCACATACGGCAGGGCAGAATGATGTGGGGTGAAATAGAAGGAATTTGGACTTTTTGTTAGAAAAAAATTAAAAAAAGAACAGGCACTCGCGCTCACGCCTATAATCCCAGCTATTCAAGAGGCTGAGATCTGAGGATCACAGTTCAAAGCCAGCCCTGGCAAACAAATCCAAGAGACTCTTAACTCCCATGAGCTAGCAGAAAGCCCAGAGTGCAGCATTAGCTCAAGTAGTAGCCTGGAGCTAAAATGCTAAACCAGCATGGGAAGACTTAAATTCAAGTTCCAGCATACACAAAAAAGAACCCAGGCCCCAGGCTCCCACCTGTTATCCTAGCTACCCAGGTGGCTGCATCTGAGGATCATGGTTTGAAGCCAGCCCAGGCAGGAAAGTTCTATGAGATTTTTTTTTCTTTTATTTTGTCAGTCATGGGGCTTGAACTCTGGCCTTGAGTGTGTCCCTCAGGTCTTCAGCTCAAGACTAGCACTCGACCACTTGAGCCACAGCGCCACTTCCAGTTTTCTGGTAGTTTATTGGAGATAAGAGTCTCATAGCCTTTCCTGCCCAGGCTGGCTTTGAACCGCGATCCTCAGATCTCAGCCTCCTGAGTAGCTAGGATGACAGGCGTGAGCCACCATCGCCAGCTCAGCTCTTATGAGACTCTTATCTCCAATAAATTACTCAAAAAAAGCCAGAAATAGGCTGTGGCTTAAATGATAGAGTGAAGCTCAGGGACAGCACCCAGGCCCAGAGTTCAAACCCCAGGATATCAGTCACTGGATTTAGGGCCCAACCCTCATACACGGAGACGTCATCCAAAGTAATTAGCTCTGCAGAGACCCTATTTTTTTTTATCTTTTTTTTTTTTTTTGTGAAAATACTGTACAGAGGGGTTACAATTACATGGGCAAGATAATGAGTACATTGCTTTTTTTTTGGGGGGGGGGGGGTCCGGTCTTGGGGCCTGAACTCTGGGCCTAGGTGCTGTCCCTCAGCTCTTCAGCTCAAGGCTAGCGCTCTACCACTTCAGCCACAGCACCACTTCCTGCTTTTTTCTTTTTGCTTATGTGGTTCTGAGGAATCGAATCCAGGGTCTCATGCATGCAAGGCAAGCGCTCTACCACTGAGACACCTTCCCAGCTCCAATGAGTACATTTCTTATCAAGCATTGTAGCCTCCTCCTTTGTTTCCCCTTCCCATCCCTTCGTATTCTCTCCTCCCCTCTCCCCCCCACCCCCCGTCTCCCCCACCAAGGTTATAAAATTCATTTTTCGACATAACGACTTGTACATCTCATTGTTGCAATGGGTCCTCCTGTATCCCTGTTTTAATGATTTGTTTTTTCCCTTCCCCTCTACATATACCAACATCATATATAGTGAAAGCAGGGGTTATACCATGGGGGAGGGACATACAAAGCAACAAAGACATAATCTTATAAATACGTTAGAAACAATCGCATGAAAGATCTTTTTTTTTTTTTTTTTTTTGGTCAGTCGTGGGGCTTGAGCTCTAGGCCTAGGCGCTGTCCCTCAGCAATTCAGCTCAAGGCTCATGCTCTACCACTTGAGCCATAGCGCCACTTCTAGTTTTCTGGTTTTTTTTTTTTTTAATTGTGATTAAGTGATTTCATAATTTCCCAAATTTCACAGTATTGTGGGATAGTGATACTCATTTAAAGTCACAAACTCATTCTAACTTTCCTGGAGCAAATTGTCTATCACGGTCTATTACATATATCAGTGTATACATATACACCATACATGTGATCAGCAGCATGGGGATATTTAGTAGTGGTTCCACCAGATGAGTGGAAGTTCTTTGTTTCTTTTTTTTTTTGGGGGGTCTGGTCGTGGGGCCTGAACTCTGGGCCTGGGCACTGTCCTTCAGCTCTTCAGCTCAAGGTGAGCGCTCTACCACTTGAGCCACAGCGCCACTTCCGGCTTTTTTCTTTTTGCTTATGTGGTGCTGAGGAATCGAACCCAGGGCCTCGGGTATGCAAGGCAAGCGCTCTACCACTGAGCCACTTTCCCAGCCCAGTTCTTTGTTTCTTAAGTCCTGTTAATTTTGTCGTATCACCTAACATTTTGGATTTAACATCCACTTATCAGGGAGACCATGTACCGTTTGTCTCTTTGCTCTTGGCTTACCTCGCTCAACATGATTTCTTCTAGCTCCATCCATTTCCCTGCAAATGCCATTATTTTGTCCTTTCTAATGGCTGCATAATATTCCATTGTGTATAGATGCCACAATTTTTGGGTCCATTCATCTGTGGTGGGACACCTGGGTTGTTTCCATATCCTAGCTATTGTGAACAGTGCTGCAATAAACATGGAGGTGCACGTGTCCTTGTATATTGGTTCCTGTTGTTCAGGGTAGATGCCTAGAAGTGGTATGACTGGGCAGAGATCCTATTTTTTAAACAGGGCTGTGTTCTGGAATTGCGGGAAGGCATGAATTTGGGGGGATTGTATTTGATGATGGTAGGAACAGGACTCTGTAACCAGGCGCCTGAGCTTGAATTTCGGTGGAGTCACTGCCTGGACCCAGCAGGGCTGTGAGCCGGTGTGCACCTCCCAACAGGAGGCCTGGTGGCGGGGCTCAGCTTCTCACAGGACACCGCCAGACTTGTTCCTGTGGCAGGGCCCTGGGAGTTGCTGACCCCAGGCCTCAGTTCCGCGTTCCTGCTGCCTGCAGGCATGTCGGAGCGGGAGCGGCAGGTGATGAAGAAGCTGAAGGAGGTGGTGGACAAGCAGCGGGATGAGATCCGCGCCAAGGACCGGGAGCTGGGCCTGAAAAACGAGGACGTGGAGGCCGTGAGTGGCGCCCTCCCCCCCAGCTCCTCCCTCCTCTTCCTTCCTCCTCCCAGTGCCTGTCCTTGGAGGCCTCAGCCTGGACACTGACCCTGGGCAGTAGGAGGGAATGCAGTCCCACAGTACCCCTGTCCCCCAGTACCACCTCTTGTGCCTCTGGAGTCCAAGCCTGAGTTAGAAGAAGGGTCCTCAAGGCATGCAACTTCCCTGTTGGGCAATTCAGCATGATATATCAATCCTAACAAGACCCATAGGTCCATCTGCCATAACAATATGTTAGTAACTACAAATTGCCCGTCTCTGGTGCCATCATAGTCCTTAAATATGAACAGATTTCTAACAGGGTCCACCTGAAGGTGTGCAGTGTACAACTTGAGCCACTGTACACAGCGACCCTGCACAACAGCCCTCTTCTCCCCACAGCTACAGCAGCAGCAGACGCGGCTCATGAAAATCAACCATGACCTGCGGCACCGGGTCACCGTGGTGGAGGCCCAAGGAAAGGCTCTGATCGAGCAGAAGGTGGAACTGGAGGCAGATCTGCAGACCAAGGAGCAGGAGATGGGCAGCCTGCGGGCGGAACTGGGGAAGCTCCGGGAGCGGCTGCAGGGGGAGCTCAGGCCGAATGGAGAGGAGGAGCCGGAGGTGAGTGGGAAGCCGGAACTGAGGTAGTGCATGAGTCACTAATCACAGGGCGTCACGTGCTCCCACTTCTAAACACAGACTCAGGACAGTTGAAAGTGTAGAGATGGCCATAGCATTGCTCCTGAAGCCCAGGAGATGAGCTGGGCGCTGGTGGCTCACCTGTAGTCCTAGCTACTCAGGATGCTGAGATCTGAGGATTGGGAGTGTGTGTGTGTGTGTGTGTGTGTGTGTGTGTGTGACATAGAGAAAGAGAGAGAGAGTCAGTCAGTGAATTTCCACACCACCTGCCTTTCTTGCTCCGGTTATTTGATACAGGGTTTCTCTTTTTGCTTATCTTTCTATTTATACTTCCCACTGAAGCTGGGATGACAGGCATGACCCGCCAGCACCTAGCTGTTTTTTTTAATTTTTTGCCAGTCCTGGAACTTGAACTCAGGGCCTGGGCACTGTCACTGAGCCTCTCTGTGCTCAAGGATAGCACTCTGCCACTTGAGCCATAGCACCACTTCTGGCTTTTTCCGTAGTACTGAGGAATCGAACCCAGGGTTTCATGCATGCTAGTCAAGCACTCTATCACTAAGCCACCTTCCCAGCCCCCTAGCTTTTTATTTTTATTTTATTGTATTTTTTTTGTCGGTCGTGGGGCTTGAACTCTGGGCTTGGGCGCTGTCCCTGTGCTCTTCAGCGCCACTTCCGGTTTTCTAGTGGGTTTATTGGAGATAAGAGTCTCATGAACTTTCCTGCCCAGGCTGGCTTTGAACCATGATCCTCAGATCTCAGCCTCCTGAGTAGCTAGGATTACAGGCGTGAGCCACCGGCGCCCGGCTCCTAGCTTTTTATTGAGATGGAACTTCTCTGCCAGGGCTGGCTTTGAACCATGATCTTTCTGCAGCCTCACGACTAGCTGGGAGGACAGATGGGAGCCACCATGCTCAGCTACATCTGAATTTTCTAAGAAGCAGTTCAGGCCCAAGGGTGTCACAGGAACACCAGAGCCAGACCGCCTGAGTTCAAGTTCCAGTCCCCAGCAGCTGCCAAGCACCCACCTGTCTGGACACAACATGACTGAGGCTTAGGTTCTGCCTGGTGGGCCTGGAAAGTCCCAAGTGTGACCAGAGCGCAGTTGTCCCCTCTGCTGGCCCAGCTGCTGCTGTGGGCACTTCTGTGAGCCTGGTGACTGGGAGGCTGGGCCGCAGGGGAGAGGCCCAGGCCCCAGGCTGTTGCTGTCGGTGGCCTCTGGATGGCTTGTCGGCCTGTCTCCTGGGCATCATGGTATCTCTGATACCCTGGCTGTGCCCAGACAGGCTCCAGGGACCAGCAAACAAGGGCAGGAGCCTGGCTTGTCAGAGATAACCCTGGCCACCCTAATCCTCGTGGAATGACCTGGAAGGGCCGCTGACCAGCCCTGCTGCCACCTGAGGAACAGGCTCAGGCTCTCTGGCCAGCCCTGGGCGGCCCCAGGAGTCCCTCTCCCAGCTTGTGGGACAGTAGTGCCCAAAGTCAGGGCTGCCCCACACCTGTCTGGGACTCTCCAGGCTCTGTGGGGATCAGAGCCATCCGTCCCCAGAGGAAAGAACAGGGGGCAGAACAGGGGACCCTCCTTGTCCAGGTGGATACATATCAAGGAGGCACCCCAGCCCGGAGGGTTCAGAGCAAAGAACCCAGAAGTTGTGCAGAGTGCCCTTAGAAGTGGGGGGCTGGGCTCTGTAGCAGGACCTTGTGGAAGGGAGAGAGCGAGGGAGGGAGGGAAGGAGGGAGGGAAGGAGAACTATGCGGGGCCCAGAAGAGGCTCTTTGAGGTAAGGCTGTGCCCCTCCCTGAAGTGTGGGCACCTGTGAGGTGGCCATGCGGGGAGAGGCTGCCTGTGCCTGGCAGCCTACCTGGGGCAGCCCCTGGGTCCCGTGTTACCCTGGGGGTTGTGGGCGCAGGGGTGCCCCTGCCCCGTTAGCGTGGTGTCTCCTTATCTAGTAGATCTGAGAACCCGGAGGAGGCGTCCAGCGTTAAGTCAGGGAGCAGGGCAACCTGCACCGCTCCCCCCTGCCCGCCCCCACCAAGATGACCATAGTTCTGAGGCTAGCTCCTGCCGAGACTGCCCAGCCTTGTTGCTGTCACCTGATCTGCCCGGCTCCAGGTGTCGCCTTTCAAGTGCCCCTTCTCAGAACACTCTGTCCTCCAGCCCAGGGCCTGCGGCCCCGGCTCTGTCTCCAAGAGACCTTGGCCTCGGCCTCACCCCTGTTCTGGCTGGAGGCCCACCTCCCCTGCCTCTGTAAGGCTGAGGATGGATGACATGTCTATTCGTGCCCCTCTTGCCCCCATTCCAGAACTTTCCTAGAGCTGGCTTGGTCTTTATCTGCTAGTGGACTATGGAAAATTGGGAGAGGGTGAGCCAGCGCCATGGCCGTGGCCGTGGCCGGCTGACACGGGGCAAAGCCTCCCTCACTGTAAGGAAAACACGGAGCCAGTGGCTCATGTCTATAATCCTAGTGACTCCGGAAACAGAGGTCTGAGGATCTCAGTTCAAAGCCAGCCTGGCAGTAATGTCTGTGAGGCTCTTTACCTCCAATGAACCTGCAAAAAGCTAGAGGTAGAGCTGTGGCTCAAGTGGCAAAGTGCCAGCCTTGAGGGAAAAAGCACCCAGGTCCTGAGTTCTAGACCCAGGACTGGTATCTCTCTCTCTCGCTCTCTCTCTCTGTCTCTCTCTCTCTCACACACACCCCCCCACACACACACAGAATAAACTTCTTTACTTGTCTTTTCCTACTGTTTCCTAAAAAGATGTCCCTGGGGAGAGGAGGCCGGGCAGGCAATGTAGTAGGATGCTGGGTGGCGTGTGTGTCCCATGGGAGAGAAGCCCCTGGGAAGCGACTGTGTGTGACTTTATGTCAGATGACCAGGAGCAGAGAATTGTGCGGGGCTGTGGTCTTCCACCCACTTGAGCCGCCGCAGGAGCAGAGAGGGGGCAGGTTTCCGAGGGCGGGGACTAGAGGCGGTGCTTCTTCACTGTGGATGGCTTTGACTGAGCCGGTGGAGGCGGGACGCAGCCCTGCTGTGGAAGGGGCCGCTGCATCCACCTCCGCAGGAGCCCAGGCTACCTGCAAGGGCTTTAAATAAAGCAGGGCCCTGAGCAAGCTGCCCACGCGCAGGGGGTGGACGGACGGTGCAAGCTCTGTCAGGATGCAGAGTGGGTGCCGCCACCGGGGCTGCCAGGAATTCATTAGCAACACTCTGCCCCCTCCAGATGGAGCCCAGCGGAGAGGAGGGCGTCTCAGATGCGGAGAAGGCCGCCCTGGATCTCAAGGACCCCAACCGCCCCCGGTTCACGCTGCAGGAGCTGCGGGACGTGCTGCATGAGAGGAATGAGCTCAAGTCCAAGGTATTCTTGCTGCAGGAGGAACTGGCTTACTATAAGAGGTAAGAGTCCCTGGGCAGAGACCTGTAATCCCTCTGAGGGAGGCAGAGGCAGGAGGATCATGAGCTGAGGTCTACCCAGCATGTTAAAAGCCTAAAACCCAGTCTGAAAATAAGCTAAAGCAAAAAAGGGCTGGGGTGTAATAGAGCATTTGCCTAGCAAGTATGGGGCTGTTTAAAATCATACAATCATAAATAATACAATTCAATAAATAATAAGTAACACAATTTAAAATAATAATTAAAAAAATAAAAGCTGGGTGCCAGTGGTTCACGCCTATGATCCTAGCAGCTTACAAGGCTGAGATCTGAGGATCATGGTTCAAAGCCAGCCCAGGCAGGAAAGTCTGTGAGACTCGTAACTACAATTCACCACTAAAAAGCCAGAAGTAGAGGTGTGGCTCAAATGGTAGAGCCCTAGCATGGAGAAACAAAAAAGCTCAGGGACACTGCCAAAGTCCTGAGTTCAAGCTCTAGGAATGGCAAAACAAAACAAAATTTAAAAAGCCAGGCATCAATGACTCACGCCTATAATCCTAGCTACTCAGGAGGCTGAGATCTAGGGATCATGATTTGAAGCCAGCTTGCCCAGGAAAGTCTGTGAGATTCTCATCTTCAACCTTAAGTATTTTCAGAACATCCCATTAAAGATTTGCTCACTGGGCCGAAGGGCTGACCCCTCCTCTGATCGGCCATGTTGGTTGTCTGGAGGCCAAACCTTAGGCAGGTATCTAGGCAGAGGTTACTGTCACCTTCATGGGTCTCTCCAAAGTATACATCTTCATCAGACCATTCCCTTCTGGAATGTTCCACTCTCAGAAGTTTTGACTGATTGGTCTCACACTCTTAACTCTTCCAGCGAAGAATTAGAAGAGGAAAATCGAATACCCCCTCCTCCACCCATGGCACACCCGAGAATGTCCCCCCAGCCGGAGTCTGGGATCAAGCGACTGTAAGTGACTCTTTCAGCACATGGCGCATGGCTGGCTCTGCATCTCCTGGGGTTAGCTCCTGAGTTCCTGTTCCCAGGGGCTCTGCCTGTTGCTAAGCACAGTGCGCTCATGGGCTTTCCCCTGCCTGGATGTTGAGTTCTTTCTGGGATCTCTGGGCAGAGGCTGGGGGCAGCTGGGGGGGTGGGGAGGGGGCTGTGGCTCATGCTCAGAGCTTGCTTGAGTTTGCAGCCTGTGGCTTTGGAATCAAGGACAGCAAGTGGGGCTGGGTGGAGGACTTGTGCAGCTTAAAGGCTCGAAAGCTGCGTGTGCATCTAGCCAAGTGTGCATTAGTGCCAGATACATGTGGTGGGCCCTGGTACTGTGACCAGGGTCCCCCTTGGCTCAATAGGCTCTCTAGAGGTTCTGCAAATGTTTATAGACTTTCCTTTTCCCCGAAAAAGTGCAGATGTAAGGCTGGGGATAATCTCCGGGGGTTCCTGGACCCCTGCAGGCTGTCAGATAAAGGCCTGTGGTCTAGTTGAGTGGCTCCAATCTGAAGACTTACTGTTTACCTACTGTGTAGCTCCATTCAGCTTCTAGGTCCTCCCCATAGTGCTGGTGGGTGGCAGTCCTTAAGGAATCCAAGTCACCTTCTGCAGCTGTAAGAGGTAGGGCCAGGATTTGAACCAGGCACCCTGGCCTTTGCAGGATGGCCTATTCTCTCAGCCTCAGGCCCCCTACTTTTCCCATGACAATTATAGAATAGATCTCAACTACAATCCTAGCTACTCGAGAGACTGAGCCCTGAGAATCTTAGTTCAAAGCCAGCTTAGGTTAGGCAGATAAATCCTAGAGATTCTTATCTGCAATTCCCCATGCTCCCCCAGACCTGTGTCAGCAATGTGGAAGACTGTCAGCTCGGGAGTCAGTTTTATCCTATCTGAAACTAGGGCAGATTCCTTGCCCCTACTCCCAGTCAGATTCACAGAAAACAGTCAAGTTTCATTGGCTCTGATTCTATCACATGATCAACCTGAAACCAATCACGATAGCACATTGTCAGGTCTATGTTTATATTGTCATCCCTGAAGCTTAAAATAACTTCTTATTTATTTATTTACTTAAATTTTACTTATTTATTTTTTGTCTATGGTGGGGCTTGAACTCTAGGCCTGGGCACTGTCCCTCAGCTCTTCAGCTCAAGGCAAGTGCTCTACCACTTGAGCCACAGCGCCACTTCCAGTTTTCTTTTTTTTTTGTTGGTCGTGGGGCCTGAACTCTGGGCCTAGGCACTGTCCCTCAGCTCTTCAGCTCAAGGCTAGCGCTCTACCACTTGAGCCATAGCACCACTTCCAGCTTTTTTTTTTTGTCTGCTTATGTGGTGCTGAAGAATCGAACCCAAGGCCTCTTGCATGCAAGGCAAGAACTCTACCACTGAGCCACCTTCCCAGCCCCACTTCCAGTTTTCTGGTGGTTCATTGGAGATAAGAGTTTTATGGACTTTCCTGCCCAGGCTGGCTTTGAACCGTGATCCTCAGATTTCAGCCTCCTGAATAGCTAGAATTACAGGTGTAAGCTACTGGTCCCCAGCTATTTATTTATTTGTCAGTCCTGAGGCTTAAACTCAGGGCCTTTTGCTCAAGGCCAACACTCTACCACTTGAGCCACAGTGCCCCTTCCAGCTTTTTCTGGTTATGTGGTACTGAGGAATCAAACCCAGAGTTTTTTTTTTTGTTTTTTTTGGGGGGGTCTGGTTGTGGGGCCTGAACTCTGGGCCTGGGCGCTGTTCCTCAGCTCTTCAGCTCTTCAGCTCAAGGCGAGCACTCCACCACTTGAGCCATAGCGCCACTTCTGGCTTTTTTTTTGTTTGTTTGGGTTTTTTTTAACTGTATTTTTTTTTGTCTTTTCTTTTTTGGTACTGGGGATTGAACCCAGGACATTGCACTTGCTGGGCAAACGCTTTGCCACTGAGCTACATCCCAGCCCTGTTTTTTTTTTTTTCTTTTTTGCTTATGTGGTGCCGAGGAATCGAACCCAGGGCCTCATGCATGCAAGACAAGCGCTCTACCTCTGAGCCACCTTCCCAGCCCCTCCAGGGTTTTATGCATGCTAGGCAAGCACTCTACCACTAAGCCACCTTCCCAGCCCTATTTATTTATTTGTTGGTTCTGAAGCTTAAACTCTGAGCCTGGGCGATATCTCTGAGCTGCTTTTGCTCAAGGCGAGCCTTCTTCCACTTGAGTGACTTCTGGATTTTTTTTTTTTTTTTTGAGTAGTTTATTGGAGATTAAACTTTCTTGTTTGGGCTGGCTTCGAACTGGGATCCTCAGGTGTTAACCTCCTGAGTAGCTAGGATTACAGGTGTGAGCCACCGGTACCCAGCTAGCCTAACTTTTTATTTTATTTTATTTTATTTTATTTATTTATTTTTGGGTCCAGTCGTGGGGCCTAAACTCTGGGCCTGGGCGCTGTCCCTCAGCTCTTCAGCTCAAGGCTAGCGCTCTACCACTTGAGCCACAGCGCCACTTCCAGCTTTTTTTTCTTTTTGCTTATGTGGTGCTGAGGAATTGAACCCAGGGCCTCAGGCATGCAAGGCAAGCGCTCTACCGCTGAGCCACCTTCCCAGCCCCCTAGCGTAACTTTTTAAATTCATTCAGTTCCCATGGATTGAAATTGGCCCCGTGTGATCCGAGTGCTAGCTTCATCGCAGGGGGTGGGAAGGCCCTTCAGTGTTAGTGTCATGAAACATTTGTAATTGCTTCCAAAACTGGGCTGTTCTGACTTAAATGTTCTATTCCAGTACCCTTATTTTAGACAGGGTAGTTAAAGTTGGGTCTTGCCAGTCTTGAATTGGGTGAAATCCAAAGAAGAGCCATTGGAGTGAGCCCCCAGGTAGAATTCTGCCTACACTAGAAGAGGCTAAGTGTCTGCTCTGCTTTTCCATATGGCTTCACTTGCCTTTTGCCTGTCCTCTGGTGGATGGGTGTGGGCTGGGGCTCTGAGCCTGGCGCGGGAAGCAGATGGAAGGGAGGAGCCCCAGAGAGACAGACAGAGACAGGAGAAAGAGCGGGCGGCCAGCACCTCCTGTCCATGGGGCACAGGTGGCCAATCCCGAGGCAGCCCGTCCTCCGAGAGGACTGCTGGGGGAGCCAACTCGCACAAAAGGCTTTTGACAGACGCTGTGAGGACACTGGCTGCCTTTGTCCTGAGCTGCTGCCCGGAGCTGCGGCCTTCGAAGCCTAGGCTGGGAAGAGTCCAGGCCAGGGACGGGTCTTCCTGGGGAGAGCTGGCTTGAAAGTTCTTAGGTGGCTCAGCACACCGTCCTCCCCTCCCCCTTTCGGTCTGTTTGGTCTCCTCTTCCTGTGCTTTGGGCAGTGTCAGCTCAGCTCTCTGCCCCCCCCCCCCCAGGGTTTTCCCCACCTCTCACCCCCCAGCAAGTAGTAATCATCACCAAGGAGGACTGAAGGCCTCACCAGCAAGGAGCACTTGTGCGGGGCAGCTATCCCGACTTCTCAGATGAGGAAAATGAGTCCCAGGGCAGCCCCTAGATTTCATTTAGACTAAGCCGGTACTAGCTGGGAATGCTCGGGGTCAGGCACCCCCCCCACGCTGCTGCTTTCCGTCCTCCCCTCCCCAGGTCCCCAGCCCTGGCTGCCTGCCTGCGTCCCTTATCTCAAAGGCACCACGAGCTAGAAATGGCACAGCCGGCAGGTCTGAGCTGAACACAACAAGGGAAGCAGAAACTCCTGCTGCCAGTCACAACAGCACGCCTGCCGGGCATCCAAGAATAGCGGGTGACCCTGCAGCGCTGGCCAAAGAGGGTGGACTGGTGCGGCCCAGGAGGTCATGCGGGGGCACCAAGTGACTTCACCCGTCCCCAGGGACCAGCAGCACCTCCTTGTGTTTTGGCCTCACAGTCCCCTCCCCCCCCCCCAGTGGCCTTCTGCCAGGCAGGGGCAGGAGGCTGGTAGGGACACTGGAGGGAGGCTGCTGGGGGGTGGCAGGGGGGCCTTGGCTTAGACTTGGATTATAGAACCGGAAAGGGTGGCTTTGGTGCAGGCGGCTGCCCCCAAATGGTGGCAGGGACAGTACCTTCTGTCCCTGTCCTCCTCCCCGCCGCCGCCCCTCCTCCAGCCAGCAGGAAATAGCTTCTCACACCGCCCCTGACTCTTCTGGAATGCCACTTGCTAGAACTTCATTTGGTTTGAAGCTTCCAGAAACACTGGGTGGGGAGACAGAAGTTAAAGCTAGCCACCTCCAGAACACACGCGCTGGGCCACACAGACACAGAAGGGAAGTGGCCGTCACTCTGCAGCTGGCACCTGCGGGAAGGGACTGTGGTCGGGAAGCCCTGTGGGACACACACGTCACTTGGCTGGGATACTCCAGGTGACAAATCTGGCCCCTGACCAGGCCCCAAGCGAAGCCCAGCAGTCCAGGCAGAGCAGGTTATCTCTCCAGGCAAAGCATCCATGCTGGGTCTGAGCGGCTGCCAGGCAGGGACGGCGTCCTGGCACAGTTGGGTACAAAGAAGGGGGACGTGGAGCCCCTGCAAGCCACCAGTGCCCGGCCATCTGGCCTCTGCGGATTGAGCCCATTCACTTAGCAAAAGGCTCTGGGAGGCCTCCCATCTGCTGTGAAAGGCAAAGGCACTGAATCCCCAGAACCCCCAAATCTCCAAGCGGTAACAACTTTACACTTTTTTTTTTTTTTTTTTTTTTGCCAGTCATGGGGCCTGAACTCTGGGCCTGGGCGCTGTCCCTCAGCTCTTCAGCTCAAGGCTAGCGCTCTGCCTCTTGAGCCACAGCGCCACTTCTGGCTTTTTCTGTTTATGTGGTGCTGAGGAATGGAACCCAGGGCCTCATGCATGCAAGGCAAGCGCTCTACCACTGAGCCACCTTCCCAGCCCCCAACTTTACACTCTTTAGAGCAGACAGCAAACCTGCTTTTCAACGCGAGCCCTGGCGGCCTGACAGGCGTCTCTTCAGCCCTGCGCTCAGCACAGGGTCAGGTGACCGTTGAATGAGGGTCGGGGACACAGTGTCTCTGCTTCCGGTCCTTGTCCTTGTGTCCTTGGCGGGCTGTCACCTCTGCCGTGGGCGCATGGAGGCATGGAGGAGAGCCAGCGGTCGCCACAGAGCTCCTAGAGCATGCTGGCCTCCCCCTTGCCCACGCCAGGCCACGCTTCCCCCGTGGCTGTCCCACACTCTATGCTTCCTTGGGTGACAACCAGCTCAGATGTCACACATGAGCTTAAGCAGTGTAATGTATTCCGTAGATCATGGCTCTGGATGCCAGAGTCCAAGATCAAGACTGCGTGCAGGAGAACCTGTTTGGGTGCTCTGCTCTTTGGGGGTTTGCTGGCCATCTCGGGCCTGTGGGAGAGGAACGTCACCCATTTCTGCCTCTGTCACCGCATGACGCATGCGCGCATGTCTGTATCCAGATATCACCATTTATAAGTCAGGGTGCTGGTTCTCTGCTAGGGCCACGCTCTGCTGTGACTGCTTCCTGTTTCCCCTCCGGTCACATGCAGGGGTACTAAGGGCACGGGGAGAGGGACGCAGGTCACTCTGCGGTGCACCCCTCAGCCGGGCTTCCGGTCATGCCTCCTCTGTTTTTGTCTTCTGTGTCTCTCTGGACTTCTGGACCAGGATCTTTACAGCCATCTTGCCCATGGTGGCAGCTGGACTGATTGTAGATGACCCCGCGCTGCAGCCCGCCCGGAGACTCGTTTCCCTTGTAGGCACTGTGTGGGTTTGGGCTTCCGGGTGAGCCGTGCCAGGGGTGTGTGCGGCTGCCGCTGGGGCTGCATGGCGCTCGGCCACCTGTGTGTTGGCATCTGCAGACTGCAGACGCCTCTCATTGTGCTTGACCTACACGAGTGGAATTCTTGGCACCATCACCGATAATTCTTTTTGTCTCTTCTGTTTCCCTTCTAAAAACCACCTTGCCATGATCCAGTAAAGAAGGTTCTATAAGTGATGGGTCAGTAATCCACGCCCGGGTCCCGAGTGGCACTAACACTGTCTCTGATGCCCGTGCCATGCCCATAGCTTTCTAAACTGCCTGGTCTATCCGGGATCGGATGTGGGTCCATTGCCGTGGGTATTGGGGTGGGGGGGGCTGCCATCTCTGTGTTGGGAGTGCTAACTGGCTTTCCTGCTTCCTTCAGCCAGGTAGAGGCAAAACCTAACACATGTGGCTGCTATTTGGGGCCAGCTAATTCCCCAATCTCCCCATGCAAAGCCAAAGCATTCACACATATCCCGCGGGCACTGTGCCTTCATTGTCAGGGGCCAGGAGAATTTCCCTTGTGTACTTGGCTTGCCCTTGCCACCTTGGTCTACTTACAGTGATGCATCCTAAGGGCTTCAGCATTAAATCTACTTTTGAAAGCCCAAACGCACCTACTGTGTCTCTCTCATCGCAGAAATCTGTCCCATGATTTAACAATAATGACCATGAAATCTGGGCCTTACTGTGCTGCTTCTGTGACTATATTAATGCATAACTATTGGAATCAGGACTACTGTTCATTTCCACCCTGTCATCTTGAACCCCACACAGGCCCTCAGGATCGCTCGGTAGAGGACCTGCAGGGCCAGGACAGCAGCCCTGTGGTGTTGAGTTCACTCTCAGCATGCGCAAGGCCCGGGGCTGCGTCCCCAGCACTGCAGGAAAGGGCAGATGTGATTGGTGTCATGAGAAGGACCCCACGCAGTAGGCAGGTGGAACCCCCATACATCCACAGTATACACACACACACGCTGCTCACATGACCTCCCAGGTGCTGAGGTAAACGCCGTGGGGGAGGAAGCCCTCCTGTGACCCCATCATCCCCAGCTTCCCCGTCGCGAACCAGTTTGCACTTAGACCGCTGCTATGTCTCTGGCGTTGCAAGAAAGAAAAAAGGGATCTGCACAGCCCAGGGAAGGCTCTCATTTCTCTCTTTCTCCATTCTAAAAGGTTTAGCTTCTTCTCTCGGGACAAGAAGCGCCTGGCCAACACGCAGAGAAACTCACACATCCACGAGTCCTTTGGCCAGTGGGCAAACACTCACCGAGACGACGGGTACACGGAGCAAGGGCAGGAAGCCCTGCAGCACCTGTGACCTGTGACCTGTGACCTTGGCCCCCTTGGACCCAGATGTGTCCTCAGCCTGTGTGGCATTACTGCCTCATGCCTCTGGGGGCAGGGGCACCCTCAAAATGGACCTCAAACAAACTGTCGTTGAGGATGGACCTTGGAGAACTGATGCCAAATTCTAAAGAAAGGTTTATTTATGTCCAGGGCTATCACCATTTATAATAGATGCCTCTGACCCTTAGGATATATATTTAATAGTCCTGTGAACTGAAGCCAGCTATTGCGTTAACTTTAGTAACCAACTTCTTCCAGCCAAATACATCACTCGCCGTTCTAATCGCTACGTGACTTGCTTTGTATAGTTTTAGTATAGTAGAGGTTTCATGGGCGCCTTTGTTGTGCTTGAGCGGGAGGCAGCTTTTCATGATTGTGAGATTGTCAGGGAAATAGTTGTTGCACAGGATTGATCGACTAGACACAGAGTGAGCAACTCCAGCTCCAGCACTCACGGACACGATGCCAGTCCTCCCTCTCAACCCTGCAAGAGGCAGCAGCCGCGCCGGAGCAGGCTGGCTTGGGCCCGGCGGAGGAAGTGTGCCTTGCAACCGCTTTGGGTTAGCACTGACCAAACATGCCGAGAATGATGCTGTGACAGTTCTTGCATGCAGTTTTCTTTTCCTGGCATCCTCCTTTCCTTTTGGCATTCACCATGTGAAATACTTAGTCCCCTGCAGAGAAGACAAATCTCCCAAGAAAGCTGGGGGGGGGGGGGGTCTGAAACTCCTACCCACAGAATACCCAGAATACAGGGTGGGGCCTTACTCAGTGCATTCTGTTAGTTTGCTAAAAAACCAGGTGAAGCCAGGCAGCACAGCACACACCCATATGCTCAGAACTTGAAAGGCTTGAGGAATGAGGATCAAGAGTTTGAGGCCAGGGGCTGGGAATGCGGCTCAGTGGTAGAGTGCTTGCCTTGCATGCATGAAGCCCTGGGTTTGATTCCTCAGCACCACATACACAGAAAAATCCGGAAGTGGCGCTGTGGCTCAAGTGGGAGAGTGCTAGCCTTGAGCTGAATAGCTGAGGGACAGCGCCCAGGCCCAGAGTTCAGGCCCAATGACCCCCCCAAAAAAAACAAAAAACCCAAAAAACTGGATGCTGATGGTTCACACTTGTAACCCTAGCTACTCAGGAGGAAGCCATCCTGGGCAGGAAAATCCATGAGACTCCTAATGTCCAATCAACCACCAGAAAACCATAGCTGACACAGTGACATCCACCTGTCATCTGAGCCAGGACAGGAAGCCTAAAATAGTAGCTGGGAAGTAAGGCCCTGTGTAAAATAGAGCAGCCAGGCACCAGTGGCTCACGCCTGCAATCCTAGCTACTCAGGAGGCTGAGATCTGAGGATCGTGGTTTGAAACCAACCAGGGCAGCAAAGTCTTATATCCAACCAGCAAAAAGCTGGAAGTGGCACTGTGGCTCAAGTGTTAAGAGTGCTAGCCTGGAGGTATGGCTCAGTGGTAGTGCTTGCCTAGGCCCTAAGTTCAAATACTAGTACTGATGCACAGATGCATGTCCACTGAGGAAAACCCCATCAGCCCCGGGGATTAAACCCAGGACTTCACCCATTCTAGGCAAACAGCCTGCACTGGGCCACACTGCAGCTCCTGGCTACCTTTACCGGTCCTCCCAACAGCTATCCAGTGTTGCCAGTTTCCTGAATACCCTCCCTGAAGGTTTATGATGCGCTGGCCTTGCACAGCACATGTGTGCGAGTCCCTTCTCCATGAAGGTGACAGCGCGATGCACACAGAGCATGTCCACTCAGGCATGTTGGTGCTGACTCCGCACTGCTGCATGGCTGTGGTTCTCAACAGAGGGCATTCCTCCCAGGACGCGTGGCAGGCGTGCCTGGAGACTGTGGAACAGGAGGAGGCCATTTGGGGAGAGATCATGGATGCTGCTAAACTCACAATGTCAGAGAGCCGCATCAAGTTACCCAGCTTGCCCATGGTGCGGGGCTGAGGAGCCCTGGTCTAATGTATTATACACCTTATTGTTTTGCCCATGGCCTGCCTCAGATTTTGATCTATATAGGTAGGCCCTTCAACTTAAGCCTTCTACATAGCCGGGACAAGGTCACACCCACACTCAGCTTCTTTGTTGAGATGGAGTCTTGCCAACTTTCTGCCCAAGCTGGCCTTGAGCCAAAAATCCTCCCAATCTCTACCTCTCAGAGCTGGGATTGCAGGCCTGAGCCACTCACTGCTCCCAGGAGTAAGTGGTTCAGGCCTTACTCAAACTCACAGAAACAACCAGAGGGCAGATATTAAGAGGAACAAGTGCCATGAGAACTGGCTGTGACCCCGTGGATTTTTTTTTTGCCAGTCCCAGGACTTGAACTCAAGAGCCTGGGCACTGTCCTTGAGCTTCTTTTTGCTCAAGGCTAGCACTCTACCACTCGAGCCACAGCACCCCTTCTGGCTTTTATCTGTTTATGTGGTACTGAGGAATCGGACTCAGAGCTTCGTGCTAGGCAAGTACTCTACCACTACGCCACATTCCCAGTCTCTGTCTGTGATTTTTGACCCCTCCTGCTCTCATTTCACTCCCACTTCTTCTGTGGGATTTATCTTTTCAGACGGCTGAAAGTGGGCCACAGATCACAGCCCTGCAGACTGCCCTTTTATCTTAAAGCCAGCAACAACAGAAAAGAGACCGTCAGCATTGTTTTGTGCATGAGTGTGCACTTTTGGAAAGGAGCTGTGGCAGCTGACCTCGATGTTGAGGCTGGCGTCTGGTATAACTCTCCCGACATTCTCCTCAGATGCATTTTAAAAAAAATTGTGGCTGCTGGGGCCAGTGGCTCACACCTGTAATCCTAGCTACTCAGGAGGCTGAGATCTAAGGATTAAGGTTCAAAGCTAGCCAGGGCAGGAAAGTCTGTGAGACTCTTATCTTCAATAAACCACCAGAAAACCAGAAGGCGCACTGTGGCTTAAGGGGTAGAGCTGAAGAGCTGAGGGACAGAGCCCAGGCCCAGAGTTCAAGCCCAAGACCAACAAAAAGAAAAACGTTGTGGCTAGGAATGTGGCTCAGGGGTAGAGTGCTTGCCTAGCATGCATAAAGCCCTAGGTTCTATTCCTCAGTATCCACATAAACAGAAAAAGCCAAAAGTGACGCTGTGGATCAAGTGGTAGAATACTAGCCTTGAGCAAAAGCAGCTCAGGGACAGTATCCAGGCCGAGTTCAAGCCCCCTGACTGGCCAAAAAAAAAGTAAAAAAAAAAATTGTGTGTCATGGGGCTTGCACTCAGGGCCTGGGCGCTGTCCCTGAGCTTTTTCACTCAAGGCTAGTGCTCTACCACTTTGAGCCCCAGCGCCACTTCCGGTTTTCTGGTGGTTCATTGGAGATAAAGAGTTGCATGGATGTACCTGCCCAGTTGGCTCTGAACCACAATCCTCAGATCTCAGCCTCCAGAGTAGCTAGGATTACAGGCGTGAGCTGCCAGCAGCAGCTAAGATGCATTTTTCTATTCCATTTCATTCAGCAAGCCCTGGGTCGTGGGGATGAAGGAGGAAGAGATTCAGCTTGTTCCCATCACAGCAGGGTCTCGGGGGTTGGGGGTCAGTGTGAAGGGTTTCAGAACATCTGGCCTGTTTGGCATGCATTTCAAGTATAGAGGAAAAATCAGACCAATTGTCTCCTACCAAATGAAACGAGTATGGCAGCCCCTACACAGGCCTCTGGACAGCTGCGGTAACTACAAAGTACTGTCCTGGCTGGGGATGTGGCTCCGTGGCAGAGCTTTTGCCAGTATACACACACCATGGGTTCAATCCCCAGCACTGCAGAAAACAAAACCATATACTTTGAACTGTGGAGACGACAACCCATAATACCTGTGTGGAGCTGGGTAGCAGACAGGCACGCCCACCTCCCAACCTCCACTTATTTTATTGAGCCAATGGGAACACAGCACATAGACAATTCCCCAGTAGTGTCCTCTGCAGCGGCGCTGGGCCTCTATTTGCTTCTGTCCCTCTTCTCCCTCCCCTTGCCCCTGTCTTCTCGCAGGCCCCTCTCCCTGTCCCAGTCAGTTTCAGTCCATACCCTGGCTGTCTCTCTCTCTTGCCACCTCTTCTCGCGACCCCTGTCATGGTCTCGGTCCCTGGTCCTGTAGTCCCAGTGTCTTTCTCTGGACCGGGATCGCTCCCGCCTCTCCCTCTTCCCATCTCGGTAGAGGTCATTCTTAACAACCGGCAAGTTGATAGGCTTTCGGAAAGGCCGATCCCGTCCCCCAAATCTCAGCTGCCCAGATTCCTTTTTCCCACCCAGCCCACCCCCCAGCCGCCGCGGGATCCAGCCACGAAGAGTCCGCTCCAGCTCATAGTCCACAAATATCTCGTGCTGATCGATCACCAGGCCGTCGGCATCGCGGTGGGCCTTCAGCAGCGCCCGCTCCTCCTTGTACTCGATGAAGGCGTAGCCCTTGGAGAAGCCAGTCACCAAGTCCCTCACCAGCCGCAGCCGCCGGATGTCACCATAGCGGGAGAAGACTTCTTTTAACTTGTCCTCTTTGGTCTGCAAATTTAGTCTGGCCACAAACAGGGTGAGGAGGGGGTCTCCAGTGACACCCTTGTTGGGCACATACCGGGCCAACATAGCCCTCCACACGGCGCGGTCATGCGGGTCTTCATCTGTGCCATCGATGCTGCCAGCTTTAAGTGGGTCATATTCCTTGGCGATGGGCATCCAATCGTTCATGTTCTAGAAATGTGACAGGAATCAGGGACATCACTCTGCCGTGAGCTCCTCACTCCACCCTCAGCGCCACCCCATGAAGTCCTCTACTTTTTGTTAGGGGGAGGAAGACACAGTCCTGTGCGCAGCTCAGGCTGGCCTGGGATTCTCTACATGGCCTATGAGGCAGTCCTTCTGCCGCAGTGTGCAGAGTGCTAGGATTACAGGTCTGCGTCAGTTCACTACTCCTCCTGAAGTGAGGGAGGTGGTGGCTATCACCAGCTCAGGCCTCCCAGGGAGTAAGAGGCTGAGGTAGTATGGCTCAACTCCAGCGTACCTTTCAGAGCTTTGAAATGGTCATTGGGATCTGAGGGTGGAGCTTAGTGGTAAACCTTTGCCTAGTTACACTTGGGACTCTGTATTCAAGCCTCAGCATGCACTACAAACAAAATAAGATAAACACTTCTTTATCCACTAGGTGCTGTAGCTTACTATCTATAATCCTAGTTACTGGGAAGGCTAAGATCTGACACTGTAGTCAGCCCAGGCAGGAAAGTCTGTGAGATGCTTATCTCCAATTAACCTGCACAAAGCCAAAAGCAGAGGTATAGTTCAAGTGGATGAGTGTCAACTATGGGGGGGAGGAGGGAAAGAGGGAGAGAGGGAGAGGGAGGGAGGGAGGGAGGGAGAATGTTCTAGCTCAAACAATACTGGAACACCAGAAAAAAAAAAAAAAAAACAACCTGGGCTGGAGTTTATGGCTCAAGCAAACAAGAGGCTGAGTTCTAACCCCAATATTGAAATAAATAAATCTAAGCATTATAGATCGCGTTTTGTTCTTTGAATGCTTTTACTTTTTTTCAATCTCCCTAGTTCATTTTCCCAAATGCCACAGTGGAATGAGCTTTCCTACAGCAATGTCTAGAGTTTTACATTCAGCTGGTAGTTCATGAGGGCTGGGATGAGATATGAGAGATAAAAGAATGAAACACAGGGAGCGTGGTGGCTCACGCCTGTAATCCTAGCTACTCAGGAGGCTGAGATCTGAGGATCACAGTTCAAAGCCAGCCCCGGCAGCAAAGTCCATGAGACTCTTATCCCCAATGAACCACCAAAAAGTGAAGCTGGAGCTCAAAGTGGTAGAGTGTTAGCCTTGAGCAAAACGGTTCAGAGACAGTGCCCAGGCTGTGAGTTCTAGCCCCACGACGAACCAAAAAAGAGGGGGTGGGGAGAGAATGATAAGGTTGGGACAGTTAACCAGCACAGACAAAAGGACATTAAAGGGACTTTTTTTGGGGGTCGGGGCCTGGGCGCTGTGCTTCAGCTCAAGGCTAGCGCCATACCACTTGGGCCACAGCGCCACTTGCGGCCTTTCTGTTTATGTGGTGCTGAGGAATCGAACCCAGGGCCTCACGCATGCGAGGCGAGCGCTCTACCACCGCGCCACCTTCCCAGCGCCGCGCAGCGTTAAACCTCTTCAATTCAAGCTTCGAGCCTCTTACCTGTGAAGAGCGGGTAAGTGACAGGCGCTGGGGCTCTGCGGTCAGTGTCTGCGCACCGACGGGTACGCTGACTCCCAATCCCCTGGCTATCCGCCACAGTACAGAAAAAGCTGTTTCTATTTGTACCTGGAAACCAGACTCGCGCCTTCACATCCAGGGGAGGAAAGCGGAAGACCCGGCCTCAGGGAGCGGGGGTGCGCATGCGCCGCGGACGCGAAGGCGGAAGTCCGGGCGGTGTTGCCGCGCTCGCTGCCCCTCCCGGTGCGGTCTGGGCCATGGCCTTGGTTCCGGGCCCCGGAGGCTGCCTCCTCCGGCCGCCCGCCTCCCCGGCCCTCCGACCCATCGCTCGTCCACGGTCCCCGCTACACAGCCCTGAGCCTTCCCACCCCTTGCCAGGCCTCGGCACGGCGGCGGCTCCCCCCGCGTCGCCCCCGCTCACCGGGACGGGACGGAGGAGTCCTCCCTTTGCTTTTCCGATCGAACCTCCCGCAGCGCAGCGAGCCCCCGACCCACGCGAGCGTCTGCCTCGGCGGAAGAACGCGCTGCGGAGGCGCCGAGCGCGGGGCGGGCGGAGGCGCCGAGCGCGGGGCGGGCGGAGGCGCCGAGCGCGGGGCGGGCGGAGGCGCCGAGCGGGGCCCCGCGCCCTGTCGAGTCTGCCGTCCGCCCTCTGCCAGGCGGCCGCCGGCGAGGCCCGGTGCTGGTCGCCGCGCGCCTCCAGCGGAGACTTCGGGGACGCCAGGAGCGCCTGGAACTCGTTTGGGGACCTTGCGGCCGCTTGTTTGACGAACTCAAAACTCCCTGCAAATCTGAATTTCTTGCAAGTTTCCAAGTGACCTTTTTTTCAAGCCTCTGCCATTAGGAGCCCGGAGAAGAAACATTATTTTCAATCTGGGTTTGAACTCTGGTCCTGGGCGCTGCTGACCCTAAGCTGCTTTTGCTCAAGGCCAGCGCTCTACCATTGAGCCACAGCGCCACTTCCGGTCTTCTAGTGGTTTATTGGAGGGAGATAAGAGTCTCGTGGACTTTCCTGCCCCGGCTGGCTTTGAACCTGGTCCTCAGATCTCAGCCTCCTGGGTAGCTAGGATGACAGGCGTGAGCCACCGGCGCCCAGCTAGGGTAGTAGCAACTTTTACACCAGACTGGGAAACCATAATCCTTTCTGTTTCTCCATGTGTGGAAGGTTAACATGACCTGAAAATAGTGTAAGGGATGAAGATCCCCTCAGCCCGCCGCCTCTTACCCTGCTGGAGCGCAGAGCCTCCCCACCCCCCTCCCCGTGCTGCCCAGCGCCCAGCGGAACTTTCCGCTCTGCCAGCCCCCACCCATCTGCACTTCTATTTTAGGTGTCCACCCGCCCACCTACTTGGGCTTTCCAGTTTGCTACTTCTCTCAGGTCTTAACTCAGTGAACTCAATGGAATTGTATTTCTGAAGTTATTTTTATTTTTTTAATTTAAAAGTAATGATCTCTCGTTGGGATTTTTTTTCTTTGCCAGTCGTGGGGCTTGAACTCTGGGCCTGGGCGCTGTCCCCGAGCTCCCATCAGCTCAAGGCTAGCGCTCTACCACTTGAGCCACAGCGCCACTTCCGGCTTTTTTGCATATGTGGTGCTGAGGAATCGAACCCAGGGCCTCATGCATGCAAGGCAAACGCTCTACCACTGAGCCACCTCTCCAGCCCCTTTTGCCTTTTTTTAGATGCTGGTGGTGAGTCTTGAACTCGGGGCTGGCGCTGTCCTTGAGCTTTTCTGTCCAAGCTGGTGCTCTACACTTGACCCACAGCGCCACTCCCACTTTTTGGGGTAGTTTATTGGCTTTCCTGCCCGGGCTGGTTTCGAACCCCATGCTGAGGTCTCAGCCTCCCGAGTTGCTAGGACTACCGGCGTGGGTCCCGGCCGTGGGGTTCCGCAACGCCCCGCCGCGGGCTGCGCCCCCCCTCCCGTCCCACGCAGGCCCGCGGCTGGGAAGCTCCAGTGGGAAGGAAGTCCCCGAGTGCGGTCTCCCCTCCCGGCCTCACCCTGCAAGCCCCGCCTCCGTCTCCATGGAAACGCGGCCTCAGAGGCTGCCGCCGGGGGCGGGGCCCCGCCTGGCTCCGCCCCCGGCCTGCGGGCTCCGAGGCCCCGGCCGCCCTCAGCGCCCCGCGGCCCCCTCTCGGGCGCCCTCCCTGCCCGTCGTCCTTCTCCGTCCCCCACCGCATCCTGGGGACCGCTGTCCCGCCTGGCTCGGCCGGGACGCTGCCCCCTCGGCCGCGCCCCCTGCGCAGCGGCAACTTTTCCGGGCCCGGGGGAAGTGACGGGCCGGGACTCATGGAGGAGCCCCCGCGCCACCAGGGCGAGGAGGGCGGCGCGGAGGAGGACGAGGCCGGCCCCGAGGGCGCCCTGGGCAAGAGCGCCTTCCAGCTGACGGCCGAGGACGTGTACGACATCTCCTACGTGGTGGGCCGCGAGCTGATGGCGCTGGGCGGCGACCCCCGCGTGGCGCGGCTGCAGTTCACGATCGTCCGCGTGCTGGAGATGCTGGAGGCGCTGGTGACCGAGGGCGGCCTGGCGGCCGAGGCGCTGCGGCGGGAGCGGGACAGCCTGCGGCGGGAGGTGGAGGGGCTGCGGAGCGGGGGCGCTCCCGCCGGCGCGGGGGTGAGTGCGGGGCGGGGAGCCCCGGGAGGGGCCGCTGGGGGGGAGCAGGGTGACAGTGGACGGGAGCAGGGTGACAGTCAGTGGACGGGAGCACGGTGACAGTGGATGGAGCAGGGTGACAGTGGACGGAGCAGGGTGACAGTGGACCGGAGCAGGGTGACAGTGGACGGGAGCAGGGTGACAGTGGACGGGAGCAGGGCGACAGTGGACGGAGCAGGGCGACAGTGGACGGGAGCAGGGTGACAGTGGACGGGAGCACGGTGACAGTGGACGGAGCACTGTGACAGTGGACGGAGCAGGGTGACAGTGGATGGGAGCAGGGTGACAGTGGACGGGAGCACGGTGACAGTGGACGGAGCAGGGTGACAGTGGACGGGAGCACAGTGACAGTGGACAGGGGCACGGTGACAGTGGATGGGAGCAGGGTGACAGTGGACGGAGCAGGGTGACAGTGGACGGAGCAGGGTGACAGTCAGTGGACGGAGCAGGGTGACAGTGGATGGAGCAGGGTGACAGTGGACGGAGCAGGGTGACAGTGGACGGAGCACGGTGACAGTCAGTGGACGGAGCAGGGTGACAGTGGACGGAGCACGGTGACAGTGGACGGGGGCACGGTGACAGTGGACGGAGCAGGGTGACAGTGGACGGGAGCAGGGTGACAGTGGATGGAGCAGGGTGACAGTGGATGGAGCAGGGTGACAGTGGACGGAGCACGGTGACAGTGGACGGAGCAGGGTGACAGTGGACGGGAGCAGGGTGACAGTGGACGGGAGCACAGTGACAGTGGACGGAGCACGGTGACAGTGGACGGAGCAGGGTGACAGTGGACGGGGCAGGGTGACAGTGGACGGAGCAGGGTGACAGTCAGTGGACGGAGCAGGGTGACAGTGGACGGAGCAGGGTGACAGTGGACGGAGCACGGTGACAGTCAGTGGACGGAGCAGGGTGACAGTGGACGGAGCACGGTGACAGTGGACGGGGGCACGGTGACAGTGGACGGAGCAGGGTGACAGTGGACGGGAGCAGGGTGACAGTGGACGGAGCAGGGTGACAGTGGACGGAGCACGGTGACAGTAGACGGAGCAGGGTGACAGTGGACGGGAGCAGGGTGACAGTGGACGGGAGCACGGTGACAGTGGACGGAGCACGGTGACAGTGGACGGAGCAGGGTGACAGTGGACGGGGCAGGGTGACAGTGGACGGGGCAGGGTGACAGTCAGTGGACGGAGCAGGGTGACAGTGGACGGAGCAGGGTGACAGTGGATGGGAGCAGGGTGACAGTGGACGGAGCAGGGTGACAGTGGACGGGAGCACGGTGACAGTCAGTGGACGGGGCAGGGTGACAGTGGACGGAGCACGGTGACAGTGGACGGAGCACGGTGACAGTGGACGGGAGCAGGGTGACAGTGGACGGGAGCAGGGTGACAGTGGACGGAGCACGGTGACAGTGGACGGAGCAGGGTGACAGGGGACAGGAGCAGGGTGACAGTGGACGGAGCAGGGTGACAGTGGACGGAGCACGGTGACAGTAGACGGAGCAGGGTGACAGTGGACGGGAGCAGGGTGACAGTGGACGGGAGCACGGTGACAGTGGACGGAGCACGGTGACAGTGGACGGAGCACGGTGACAGTGGACGGGGCAGGGTGACAGTGGACGGAGCAGGGTGACAGTCAGTGGACGGAGCAGGGTGACAGTGGACGGAGCAGGGTGACAGTGGATGGGAGCAGGGTGACAGTGGACGGAGCAGGGTGACAGTGGACGGGAGCACGGTGACAGTCAGTGGACGGGGCAGGGTGACAGTGGACGGAGCACGGTGACAGTGGACGGAGCACGGTGACAGTGGACGGGAGCAGGGTGACAGTGGACGGGAGCAGGGTGACAGTGGACGGAGCACGGTGACAGTGGACGGAGCAGGGTGACGGGACGGGAGCAGGGTGACAGTGGACGGGAGCAGGGTGACAGTGGACGGAGCAGGGTGACAGTGGACGGAGCAGGGTGACAGTGGACGGGAGCAGGGTGACAGTGGACGGAGCACGGTGACAGTGGACGGAGCAGGGTGACAGTGGACGGGAGCAGGGTGACAGTGGATGGAGCACGGTGACAGTCAGTGGACGGGAGCAGGGTGACAGTGGACAGGAGCAGGGTGACAGTGGACGGAGCAGGGTGACAGTGGACGGGAGCAGGGTGACAGTGGACGGAGCAGGGTGACAGTGGACGGGAGCACGGTGACAGTGGACGGGAACACGGTGACAGTGGACGGAGCAGGGTGACAGTGGACGGAGCAGGGTGACAGTGGACGGAGCAGGGTGACAGTCAGTGGACGGGAGCAGGGTGACAGTGGACGGAGCAGGGTGACAGTGGACGGAGCACGGTGACAGTGGACGGAGCACGGTGACAGTGGACGGGAGCAGGGTGACAGTGGACGGGAGCAGGGTGACAGTGGACGGAGCACGGTGACAGTCAGTGGACGGGGCAGGGTGACAGTGGACGGAGCAGGGTGACAGTGGACGGGAGCAGGGTGACAGTGGACGGAGCAGGGTGACAGTGGACGGAGCAGGGTGACAGTGTTGGTGAAACAAAGCCTCTTTCTTTTTTCTTTTTCTTTTTTTTTTGTTGTTGTTGGTCGTGGGGCTTGAACTCTGGGCCTGGGCGCTGTCCCTCAGCTCTTCAGATCAAGGCGAGCGCTCTACCACTTGAGCCACAGTGCCACTTCCAACCTTTTTTCTGCTTATGTGGTGCTGAGGAATTGAATCTAGACCCTCATGCTTGCAAGGCAAGCGCTCTACCACTGAGCCACCTTCCCAGCCCCAAAGCCCCCTTTTTTTATTTTTTTTGATCGGTCGTGGGGCTTGAACTCTGGGCTTGGGCGCTGTCCTTGCGCTCTTCAGCTAAGCTAGCACTGTACTGCTTGAGCCACAGGGCCACTTCCAGTTTTCTAGTGGTTTATTGGAGATCAAAGTCTCACGGACTTTCCTGCCCGAGCTGGCTTTGAACTGCGCTCCTCAGATCTCAGCCTCCTGAGTAGCTAGGATTACAGGCGTGAGCCACTGGTGCCTGGCTTGAAAGCCCCTTTCTTATATAATGCACAGCTACATTTGCTTCTTGGTTTTTTTTTTGGGTCCGGCCGAGGGGCCTGAATTCTGGGCCTGGGCGCTGTCCCTCAGCTCTTCAGCTCAAGGCTAGCACTTTACCACTTGAACGTCAGCCCCACTTCCGGCTTTTTCTGTTTATGTGGTGCTGAGGAATCGAACCCAGAGCCTCATGCATGCAAGGCAAGCACTCTACCGCTGAGCCACCTTCCCAGCCCATTCTTGTTTTTTTTCTTAGGAGTATGTGTGTATGTGTTTGTTTTTTTTTTTTTTGGGGGGGGGGAGGAGGGGCGGTTCCTGGGAATTGAACTCAGGGCCTGGGCGCTGTCCCTGAGCTCTTTTTCTGCTCAACCAGTTGGAGCCACTGTGCCACTTCTGGTTTGCTGGTGGTTAATTGGAGACAAGAGTCTCACAGAGCCAGGTGCTAGTGGCTCACATCTGTAATCCTAGGTAGTCAGGAGGCTGAGATCTGAGGATCACGGTTCAAAACCAGCCCAGCAGGAAAGTTCAGACTTTTTTGGGGGGGCAGGGCAGGCCTGAGGCTTGAAGGCTTTAACTCTGGGCTTGGGCCCTGTCTCTGAGCTTCTTTTGCTCTAGGCTAGCCACTTGAGTCAGCACCATTTCTAGCCTTTTTTTTTTTTTTTTTGGTAGTTGATTAAAGAGTCTCACGGAGTTTCCTGCCCTGGCTGGCTTCAAACCATGATCTTCTCAGATCTCAGCCTCCTAAGTAGCTAGGATTATAGACATGAGTCACTGGCACCTTGCTCCGAGAGACTTTTATCTCCAATTAACCACCAGAAAACCAGAAGTGGAGCTGTGGCTAAAGTGGTAGAACACTAGCCATGAACTAAAGAGCTCAGGGATAGCACCCAGGCTCTGAGTTTAAGCCCTATTACTAACCAAAAAAAAAAAAAAAAAAAAGAGTTTCACAGACTTTCCTGCCTGGGCTGGCATTGAACTGTGATCCTCAGAGCTCAGCCTCCTGACTGGCTAGGATTACAAACTTACAAAAGAATTTGGTATTTGGTGGGGTGGGTGGGCTGGGAATGTGTCTCAGTGGTAGAGTGCTTGCCTTGCTTGCATGAGATTCTGGGTTTGATACCTCAGCACCACATAAGCAGAAAAAGCTGGAAGTGGCGCTGTGGCTCTAGTGGTAGGGTACTAGCCTTGAGCTGAAGAGCTGAGGGACAGCGCCCAGGCCCAGAGTTCAGGCCCCACAACCAACCAAAAAAAAAAAAAAAGATTTTTGCTGTTGCCGAGGCCTGTTAAGTGGCCACTCTTTGGTGAGCACTCCCTCCCAGGTCTCCTTTACGTCACTTCCTCCTGAGTCTCCGTGACAGCTGATTTGTGGTTGGAGAAGTGCAGTTCACTGCGCACAGTGCTGCCCCATTTGGGTTATTTTCAGTATGATCTCAAGCTCTGGGATGGGGGAGGCCCATCTCGTGGCGGGAGAATGGTGCTGGGTAGGGCCTGGCTCATTTCCTGTGTGGAGCAGGCAGAGTGGACAGTGGCATCATGCAGATGAGATGGCACATTTCCTCCTGACCACAGCCCAAAGTTGGTGTGGTGACTCGTGGCTGTCATGCCAGTGATGTAGGAAGACGAGATCGGGAGGATCCTAGCTACAGGCCAGCCTGGGCAGAAAGGTCACAAGACCATACTCTGGAAGCTAACACCCAGAGGAGCATGGTTCAGAGCTAGCCAAGCAGAAAAGTCCAGGAGACGCTATCTCCAACAAACAAGCAAAATGCCAGAATGGAGGCATGACTCAAGTAGAGCACCTGCTGTGAGCAAGAAAACTAAGTGAAAGTTGAAAGACTCTGACTTCAAGCTGTAGTGCATGCACGCATGTGCGCACACACACACACACACACGGCTCAAGTGGTTAGAGTAACTTCCTAGCAAGACTGAGATCCTGAGTTCAAACCCCAGTATCAACAAAATAATGAATGGTAATAGAGAAAAAGTCATGAATTAAGAGCACCTAGTGTTCCTGCCTTAGTTTCCAAGGATCCTGAGTCTTTTCTTAGAGAATTGTTTTTCTGGATTTTTTTTGCATTTGTGTTTTACCATGCTGGGAGTTTAGTACTTTTTGTTTCTGTCGGTTGTGGGGCTTGAACTTAGGACCTGGAAGCTGTCTTTGAGCTTTTTTGCTCAAGGCTAGCTCTCTACCAGTTTGAGCCACAGCACCACTTCCGGTTTTCTGGTGGTTCATTGGAGGTAAGAGTCTCATGGGCTTTCTTGCCCAGGCTGCCTTTGAACTGAGATCCTTAGATCTCAGCCTGCTGAGTAGCTAGGATTACAGGTGTGAGCCACCAGTGCACTGAGTTTAGTACCTTTGCGAACATTCTATCACTTCCTTGGCAATGCCATCAGTCCTTTTGTTTGTTTGTTTGGGTCCAGTCGTGGGGCCTGAACTCTGGGCCTGGGCACTGTCCCTCAGCTCTTCAGCTCAAGGCTAGCGCTCTGCCACTTGAGCCACGGCGCCACTTCCGGCTTTTTTCTTTTTGCTTATGTGGTGCTGAGGAATTGAACCCAGGGCCTCAGGCATGCAAGGCAAGCGCTCTACCACTGGGCCACCTTCCCAGCCCAGGTACTGCTTCTTGAGGCACTGGCTGTTTCACTGCTACAGACAAAATTCCTTTGGCCACCTGGGCTAGGTACAGTGAATGCCAAGAGGCACAAACCCCGATGAACACTAAGCACCGACTAGGAGGGAGGAGACAATGGTCACTCCTACCTTTCCTCGAAATGGCTTGCTATGACAGCAAGCTTGTTGGCGCGGCTCATGAAAAAGTGGGAGTTCCCAGCCCAGTCTTTTTGTTTTTAAGACAGGGTCTGACTAACTTTGCTTAGGATGGCCTTGAACTTCTGATCCTCATGCCTCCTCCTCCAGAGTAGCTGAAATTACAGGTGTGAACTACCATGTTTGGCACTTTGCTTCTTGGCCAGCCACAAAATACTTCCAACATGCCATCATTTCAGGGCTCCTGGGAGCCACAAAACCAAACATGGTTTTCTTAGGAGGACTGCCCAACACTAGGAGGGAACTGGACGTGCATCTTTTCTTCCAGGTGAACCTGGGACCAGACAAAATGGTGGTGGACCTGACAGATCCCAACCGGCCCCGCTTCACCCTGCAGGAGTTGAGGGACGTGCTGCAGGAGCGAAACCAGCTTAAGTCACAGCTGCTGCTGCTGCAGGAAGAACTGCAGTGCTACCGGAGGTGTGCAGGGCTGCACACTGTGCTCATGTGCCCTCATCCACTTCACTGCCTGCCACGTGCCAGGCACTGTGGGGACAGTGGAAGATAGTGATAATCTGTAGTCTAGTGGGAGAGGCATGTTATCAAGAAGGAAGTGAAGCAGGGAGCCGGTGGCTCATGCCTGTCATCCTAGCTACTCAGCAGGCTGAGATCTGAGGATCGAGGTTCAAAGCCAGCCCGGGCAGGAAAGTCTGTGAGACTCTAATATCCAATAAACCACTAGAAAACCGGAAGTAGCACTGTGGCTCAAGAGAGCACTGGCCTTGAGCTGAAGAGCTTGAGGGATAGCACCCAAGCCCAGAGTTCAAGCCCCACGACTGACAAAAAGAAAAAAAAAAAGGAAGTGAAACCAGATTACTGGCATAGGGCTGTAATCCCAGCTACTCAGGAAGTGGCCATCAGGAGGATCATGGTTTGAAGCCAGCCTGGGCCAATACCCCAGCAATACCCCATCTCAATCAGCAAACAAGGCATAGTAATCCTAGCTACTTAGGAGGCTCAGATCAGAGGATCACAGTCTGGGTAGGAAGGTCCTAAAGGCCCTATCTCCAATTAACCAGCAAAATGCTATACTGGAGGTGTGATTTGAGTGGAGAATGCCAGTCATGAGCAAGCACACAGTACAAGCCAGCACAAATAAAGGAGCTGGAGTACAGCTGTATACATCATAATCCCAGTTATTCACTGGGTGTAGGTAGAAGATTGGGGTCCAAGCTGGCCCTGGGCAAAAACTCCAAACTCTATCCACAGCATAATTAACACAAAAAGGCTGAAGGCATGGCTCAAGTGGTAGAGCACCTGATTAGCAATGACAAGGCTGTGAGTCTAAACTCAAGTAAGGGGAGGGAGGGAGGGAAAAAGGAAGGGAGGGAGAGAAGGAGGAAGGTGCAGCCTACAGTGCAGAGGAATTGTTCCTCGTGCCAAGGCTGAAACCTTTTAATGGAAAGGCCTACCTTTATCCCATTTGATAAGTAGTCAGGTGCAGGTAGTTATAGAGAAACTGAGTGCTCTGAGCAGCTGGTTAATGAGCAAAGCAATGCCCTGTATTTCCAGCTTTGACTTCCCAGAGAACCAGAGAGAGAGGACCCAGTGTGAGGCCCAGGCAAGCAAGGATTCTGCTCAGCCTCTGGTGAGGGCGGCACAGCCAAGATGTTTTCTTAGCAACTACATTTATCTGCAGGGCCACACTCAGACTGATGATGTGAGGATAAAAACCTGTGACTAAAGGGAGGCATTGTGGTAGTTTCCAGGCAGCTGGCTGGGGTCTTGCTCTACCAAAGGACCCAGGTCCCAAGCCAGCAAGACTGCATGTCATCATGACTCTAGGACTCATGCCTTAATCAATCCTAGCAGTTTAGGAGACTGAGATGCAGGGGATTATGCAAAGGCAGCCTAGGGGCCAGTGGCTCACGCCTGTCATCCTAGCTACTCAGGAGGCTGAGATCTGAGGATCATGGTGCAAAGCCAACCCAGGCAGGAAAGTCCATGAGACTTATCTCCAATAAACCACCAGAAAACCAGAAATGGTGCTGTGGCTCAAATGGTAGAACACTAGCCTTGAGCTGAAGAGCTGAGGGATAGCGCCCAGGCTCAGAGTTCAAGCTCCATGACTGACAAAAAAAAAAACAGCCTGGGTAGAAAATGTTGATTCTTATCTCCAATTAACAAGTAAAAAGCCAAAAGTTAAAGCTGTGGTTCCAGTGGTAGAGCACCAGCCTTGAGCAAAAAAGCTAAGGGACAGCGCTCAGACCCTGAGTTCCAGCCTTTGTATTACGAGCACAAAACTACATCCATTTGTTTCTTTCCCCAGTGGCCTGCTCCAACCAAGAGAAGCAACAGGAGGAAGAGAAAAAGATGGTGTGGTTGGCAGATCCAGTGGTGCCACAGAGGAGAAGACCATCATGAGGAAGCTGTAAGTCACCGCAGCCACTCTCCTGTTTAACACTGGCTGAAGGAGGAGGTGCATGGGGTGAGGAGCTGAGGCTGGGCCCTGCTGTCACAGTGCAACCTCCTATGACCTTGGGCCCGTTGCTGACTGCAGAATTGTATAAAATTAGCCAAAAATGGAAGCATCTAGAATAGTGCCTGTCTCATAAAAAGTACCCCGTGATTCTTGATCCCTGGCCTGCAAGATGAACTTACATCCTGTCCCCTCTACCCAGGTTTTCTTTCCGGTCAGGGAAGCAGACCTAACCTGATGGCCATGAGCAAAGCAGCCTCCGGCTTGAGAAGACAATCAAGGCAGCTTCCAGAATCATCTCTGTGTTCCATGCACCCACATGAGGCTTGCACGTGTCCCCAGAAGCAGTCCGAGGAGGAAGGGGCCGGGCTCTCTGGCTTCTGGGCTGCAGAACAGGGCAAGGAACACACACGGGGCTTCCTCTTGCCTGGCCTGCGTGTGCACACAGACCTGGCCACCGCTGGTCCTAGTCTTCAGTGTGCCAGGAAGCGCGACTCACTTCCGAGTCGTGACTCCACTGGTGGTGAGCGAACAGGCCTTCACTTGACTTTCTTTACATCACTTTGTATTAAAATGACCTTTATACTTTTAGAGCTGTGTAAGAGTGGTCTCCTGGAGTTAAGGCAGCCTGTATGGCTGGTGTTTGTGTACATGCCTATAATCCTAGCACTCTATAGGCAGAGGCAGCATGGCCAGGAGTTCTAGCCCAAGCTGGGCACCAGTGGCTCATGCCTGTAATCCTATCTACAAAGTATGCCCTGTTTCGTTTTTTGTTCTTTTTTTTTTTTGGTTGGTTGTGGGGCTTGCACTCTGGGCCTGGGAGCCATCCCTCAGCTCTTTAGCTGAAGGCTAGCTGCTTTACCTCTTGAGCCACAGCACCACTTCCGGTTTTCTGGTGGTTTATTGGAGATCAGTTTCATGGGCTTTCCTGCTGGGGCTGGCTTTGAACCAACATCCTCAGATCTCAGCCTCCTGATTAGCTAGGATTACAGGCCTGAGCCACCAGTGCCTGGCTTTGCCTGTTTTAAATAAACATTAAAAATAAATACATGTAAAGAAAAACAAGGAGCTGAGGCTGGGAAGGTGGCTCAGTGGTAGAGCGCTTGCCTTGCATGCATGAGGCCCTAGGTTCAATTCCTCAACACCACATAAGCAAAAAGAAAAAAAGCCAGAAGTGGCGTGTGGCTCATGTGGTAGAGCGCTAGCCTTGAGCTGAAGAGCTGAGGGACAGTGCCCAGGCCCAGAGTTCAGGCCCCATGACCGGACCCCTTCCAAAAAAGAAAAAAAGAAAAACAAGGAGCCCTGCCTTCTAGGGGACATGCTCCAAAACACCTGAGCAGACTCTTAGCTCTCCTGCAGTTCTCAACTCAGCCCCATGTAGCCTTGTGATCAAAAGAATGCAACAGGCTGGGCACACTGGCTCACGCCTATAATCCTCACTACTCAGAAGGCTGAAATCTGAGGATCATAGTTCAAACCCAGCCTAGGCAGAAAGTCTGTGAGACTCTTATCTCCACTATAGTTCCAAAAAGGCCAGAAGAGGAGCCCTACTTTTTAAGGGCGGGGCTCAGTCAGCACCACAGGACCCTCCCCCACACACCTTGTTTCTGCTGCCACCTTACAAAAACAAAGACACACAGGTGACCGGCCTTGCCTGGCAATAAATATTTTAATTTTTTTCATTTTTATGATGACAAATAATTTTCAAGTTTTATTTCCTTTTTTGTTTGCTTAAGTACAAAGCTAAACCACAAATGGGTACAACCAAGCCGTTTCATCTCACGTTTACACACCCTCATCGGACCTTCCTCCAGTCTGATGGCCACTGGCCAGGCTAGTGGGGTTGGGGAAGACTTCTTAGGTAGCACCGTGGTGAGGTCCAGGGTGGGGGATGGAGGACAAGGGCCACTCCTCATACCTGTCTCTATTCACATTGCTCTGGGTGCGGGGCTGGCAGGAGCCCCGGCCTGGAGCTGAGCAGTGGGCGCTGCCCGACCCGTCCAGGGAGGAGGCAGCGTGCCCCACCTGCTGTCACGCTCCGCCAACACCTGAGCTTACCCTCCATCCTGGGCCATGGCGGCAGTGGGGGCCGGGGCCGGGGCCCTCTGTCCCGCCTCAGCTCATGGCTTGTTCACAGGAGCCAGGGGCTCGGACAGAAGAGGGCCTCCAGAGTGGGCGGGGACTCCGGCCCGGCACAAGTGGGTGGGGCATCGGGTACGTAATTTCTGGTCCCACTACAAAACTTATTTTTGATTAGAATAGAGTACCATCTCATTCTCTTCTACAAAACAAAACCAAAAAGAAAAAAGAAACCCCAAACGAAACAAAAAACTGCAGCCACTTCACTCACTGCAAGACCTATATACATGTAAGTTGTTTCCTGTGGGTTTTTGAAATTTTTTTTTGTTTTTAAATTTTTATTATTTTTTTTTAAAATAAACTCAGTGTTCACATTTCTATAAAGAGCCCCGTGTCAGGAAGGCCCGCCCAGGGCTGGGGAGCGGAGCCTCTTCCTGGGGGCCTCCACCCTGATGCTCCAGGCGAGGCCTGAAGCAGCGGCCTCTGGGGAAGCGATCTGGGCCGGCCACGCTCGCAGCCAGCAGGGTCGCTCGCAGCCAGCAGGGTCGGTAAGCTCAAGAAAGCAGAGGGGAAGACTAGCTTACTGCGAAACCTTTTTAAAAAATATTCATACTTCAACGTGTGCCTGTCGAGACACAAGGAGAACAAGAGCTTGGAGACGTGCCGTCCAGGCCGGGCCGGGTGCTGCGCCCTGCCTGTCCCGGGACAGGTGTGGGGCACGCTCGCCCAGCTTCCTAGTTCATGTCTGACTCTTCCTTCTAAAACCTGTGCCGAGGCCTGGACCGCATGCACGGGAAGCACAAACGTTCCACTTGTATGCAAAAAAGGTACAAAACAACTAGAATATAAAAGTTTTGGTAATATAAGGCCATCTGTTCAAGCCCACTCAGGAACCTGTAAACAGATATTAAATACTACAGTGAGAAGGCATCTTAATATACTTTTTTTTTTTTTTAAAAAACATCTGAAGTAATCTGCTAAGATTAAATGTGTAAAAAAAATCCTTTCCCTTTGAGGGCACTTAGTCCTGCACAGGAGGGCGGTGCGGTCAGTGCTTGAGCCACGGGTAGGCCTCTAGGGAGGCCTTGCTGCGGTCGCCGTAGTCGTACAGCAGCTCCTCCCCCGCCTCGATATCGCGGGAGGCCACGAGGATGAGGTGAGGCACGCCGGCGATGTCGTGCAGTTTGGTCTGGCAGTTCCCACACTTGCTGTGATTGATCAGTCTCCCCAGGCGGTTTGTCTCCCGAGTGGCATCCACACTGTGGGAGGGAAGGAGGGAGGAGGGAGGGGCTTGCGTGGGCAGAGGCCTGAGGGGGCCCACACCGCGCCCCGGGGCAGTGCACTCACCAGTAGGTTTTGCTCAGGTACTGGAAGTAGTACATGTAGCAGCCTGTGGAGGGGTCCTGAGCATACAGCGCCTCTCTCTTCTTGGCGTCAGTGATCTCAATGAGGTCCCCGTGGTACTCCACCACGAAGTCTCCCCGGGAGAACCGCCGGGTGGCAATCACACCCCTGCCTTTGCCATCAATAAGGTCGATCTGTCAGGAGGTAGCGAGAGGGTCACCATTTTTGACCAGCTCCCTAGTACCTGTGCCTGCCTGGTTGCACCATCCCCCTGCTGAGCTCCTTCCTATTATCAAAGCCCTGGCCCCCAGCAGGCCTGTGCCACCACACAAGGGGTCGAGCCCTGTATGCAGAGCAGCAATGTGCGCGGTGAGCTCCAGCCCATGCTCTGCACTCCCAGAGTCCTCAGCGTTTACCCCTGGGGTTTCTCCTCACGTTTATAAATAAATCAAGTCTGAGAGTGGCTGCTTGGGAGGTCCAAGTTCAAGTCCTCATGAAGGGGGGGCGGGAGGATCGGTTTCTGACCGTTGGCCCCCAGTCCAGGCCCATGTAGCTACCTCTCCCGCATGCCTTTAACATACAAACCTGCGGTACAGCAGGCACTTAGCAGGCACCAGGCCTCCAGTGCAACCAACAACAAAGAAAACAAAGCAAAGCGCTAGGATTACAGGATTGAGGGACCACACCTGGTTCTTTTTTATTTGTTGTTGGTGGTCGTGAGGCTTGAACTCTGGGCCTGGGCACTGTCCCTCAGCTCTTCAGCTCAAGGCTAGTGCTCTACCCTTCAGCCACAGCACCACTTCCAGTTTTCTGGTGGTTTATTGGAGATGGGACTCTCCTGCCCAGGCTGGCTTTGCACAATGATCCTTAGATCTCAGCCTCCTGAGTAGCTAGGATTACAGGTGTGAGCCACCAGTGCCTGGATGTTATTTTCTATTTTTAAAAGTACAAGCATGAAGCTTTCCAATGCCACTGTGAGGAACAGAGGAGCCCCTGTTGGAATGCAGCTGCATCCCAAATGGCTACCGCAACGAAAGCTTTACCACGGACCAAACAGATGATGCTTAGGAAAAACCGTCTAAGCAGTGGTGACTCCAAAGTCCAAGCAGTGGACAAGGATTCCAGTGGCATGAGGCCCGTTCACAGGGCGGCAGGCTGGAGGGTGGGGTGGCTGCTGGCTCATGCACAGGTCTTCATTGGGGAAGCGACAGGCTCGCTGTTAGTCAGGGATGACAACTGCACGCTGCTGGCAATGCGCCGAATGTGACTGGGGTGTATACTTTAAAAAAGGGTAAATGAGCTGGGCGCCAGCGGCTCACGCCTGTCATCCTAGCTACTCAGGAGGCTGGGATCTGAGGATCGTGGTTCAAAGCAGCCCAGGCAGGAAAATCCGTGAGACTCTTATCTCCAATAAACGACAAGAAAACTGGAAGTGGTGCTGTGGCTCAAGCGGTAGAGCGCTGGCCTTGAGCTGAAGAGCTGAGGGACAGCGCCCAGGCCCAGAGTTCAAGACCCACGACCGACCAAAAAAAAAAAAAAAAAAAAAGGGTAAATCATGCCCCCCTCACTCCTGGGCACTGTCCCTGAGCTTTTTTTGCTCAAGGTTAGTGCTCTACCACTTGAGCCACAGCGCCACTTCCGGCTTTTTCTGGTTATGTGGTCCTGAGGAATGGAACCCAGGGCTTCATGTATGCTAGGCGAGCACTCTACCACTGAGCACCTTCCCAGCCCCATGGGTATTTTACAATTAAAAAAAAAAAAAAGTTCTGTGGGACAAGCCAGTCTCCTGCCTCTGGGAGCAGCAGACAGAGGTGAGCTCGCACGGCGGGGAGCCACTGCCTGCGGGGCGGTGCGCTGCCCTTACCTTCATGCCCTCTTCCTTCCCGCTGTCAATGAGCTCGTCTATCCGTCTCCTTTCTTCCGACTGGGAGTGGACAGGAGGGAGGGAAGGGAAGAGCAGCATCAGTGTTCATGCTCTCCACACAGAAAGGCCGCCAACAGCTCCACCAGCCCTTTCCCAGCGATGCTGAAGCCCCAAGGCCCCCCCTCCCCCACCTGGGGCAGGCCATCTGTCATCTGGAGCAGGGGAGCGGTGCCCACAGAGGGATCTGAGGCCTGCTAGGATCTGGATCTTTCTTTGCTTTGCTGTTCTGGTACAGGGCTGACTGTGAAGCCCAGGCTGGCCTCAAACTTCCCACTCTCCTGCCTCAGCTTCCGCACTTCTGGGATTTTGGATCCAATGGCACCAAGGGTTGAACTCGGGGCCTTGAGATTGCTAAGCAGGCGCTCTACCTCTTGGGCTACTCCACTAACCCTAGTTTAGAGTGTAAGCATCCCCCAAAGGCCGCTGTGTTAAAGACTGGGCCCCTCTCCTATGTGGTACTACTGGAAGGCAGGAGAACCTTTAAGAGCAAAAGCCTAGTGTGGGTCTTCTGGCCATTCAGACGGCACTCGGAGGGTCAGAGGGCCTCAGCCCGTCCCCTCCCCAGCCATGAGCAGCGAGCTTGCCAGCGTGCTTCCAGCACGGTAAGCTGCCTTACCCAAAGCAACAGTGCCGCCGGAGCAAGAGCACGAACTAGAGCCTCAAAACCCAACACAAAAAGGCCTTTTTTCTTTATAAAATAAGGTTCTGTAAGTCAGGTATCTGTCACACAGATGGAACGAGAGCACTCGGCCTTTAGACACGCTGTGCAGCCCATGTAGTGGACTTAGTTCTCAAACCTCAGCCTCTAGCCAGGCGCCAGTAGCTCACACCTGTAATCCTAGGGACTTCGGAGCCTGAGATATGAGGATCAAGGTTCAGAGCCAGCCTCAGCAGACAAATCTGAGAGTCTTATCCTCAATTAACCAGGAAAAAACCACGAGTGCAGGAGTGACTCAAGGGGTAGAACACCAGGCTTGCTAGAAAAGCCAAGTGAGAGCAGGGCTTTTTTCTAAGCAGCTGGCCTTCTGCTACTGCAGCCAAACCTCTGGCTCTGGTTTTTGGGTGTGTAATTGGAGATAAGAGTCTCAGACTTTCCTACCCAGGCTGGCAATGAATCAGGATCCTCAGATCTCAGCTTCTAGAGTAGCTGGAGTTACAGATGTGAGCCAAAAGCACTTGGCTAGCAGTCTTGACAAGCTCAACAGGGTAACCTAAGATGGTGGTGAGGGGAAAGGATAGCGTCCACATCTACAAGAAGTTTCTATCTTCACAACTTCTCTATAAGCCTAAATCAAGAAATTAAAAGTTCAGAGAAAGCTGGGCACCATTGCCTTTAATTCTAGCTACTCGAAGCTGAGATCTGAGACTTATAGTTCAAAGTCAGCCCAGACAGGAAAGTCATGAGATTCTTCTCTCCAATACCACCAGAAAACAGAAAGTGGCACTGTGGCTCAAAGTGGTAGAGTGCTAGCCTTGAGTGAAAGACCTCAGGGACAGTGCTCAGGCCAATGAACAACAACAAAACCCACAAAAGAGGGCTGGGAAGGTGGCTCAGTGGTAGAGTGCTTGCCTCACATGCATGAGGCCCTGGGTTCAATTCCTCAGCACCATATAAGCAGAAAAAAACAAAGTGGCACTGTGGCTCAAGTGGTAGAGCGCTTGTCTTGAACTGAAGAGCTGAGGGACCGTGCCCAGGCCCAGAGTTCAGGCCCCACAACCAACAAAATAGATAGATAGATAGATCGATCGATCACACCAGCCCCACCTTCCACAGCCAGCTCTCCCTGAAGCCCAGTCTGTGCCTGCCTGTCCCTTCCTTCAAGCCAGCATCTGTTTGCTCTTTCCCTTCCTTTAGGGCTTGGTCGAAGCCACTTCCGCTCTTCCTGACCTCTGCGGCTCTGGCTCCAGGCCTCGCCACTCTGAACACCTCCACCTTGTTGTGTCTACTTGGAAGCGCTTCTGCGGGTCTCCAGCTCTTCAACAGCCCGGCCTGCACCGAAGCATTAGGAGTCCAGGAGTCTCCTAGCAAAGATGGTGCCACAGATGAGCCTTGGAGATAGCAGGAGCAGTGCGTGCTGGCTGCACAATGATCCCTGGCGCACAGGGGATGTATCAGTGGGAAAACCCAGTGAGGCAACTAGGGAGACGGACGTGGCCCGGAGGGCTCACACTGAGCCCAGCAGAGCTGGGCAAGGCAGTCACAGCCACCAGCCGCAGAGCACTGCAGTGAGTGCCGAGAGGCTTGGCCATCTTTCCAAGCCCATGCTGGGCTCAGATTTTGCGGCCGAGATTCCTCCCTTCTGCCCTGGACCTGGACTTGGGTGGGGCCCTGTCCCACCTGCTGTCTTCAGACACAGCCAGGTCTCTGGAGAGTCTGGCATTTCAGTCTCAGCTTCTCTAGCACATTGTTCGGGCCAGGTAATTAAGCCAGGACTCAGAGAAGTACAGCGCTCAGCCCCAGCCAGCACATCCTGGGGCCTTCTCTGTGCAGCCATCGGCAGCAGGCAGGGCTGCACACCCTCACTGAGGGTGCTGGTCAGCAGCTCACGTAGTGCCCACTCAGTAGAGCCACCACACATGGTGGGGCCCATGTGGCTTTTGCTTGCGCTGGCTCCTGGTGTGGTAACAGGGCAAGGACTCGGGAGTCCGCAGCCAGGCTCTGCGGCAGCCCTTCCCTGGCTCACCTGCTTCAACACTTGGCAGACCTGTGCTGCAGCCCGCTGCAGCCCTCCTCCTCCTGGCCAAGAGCCCTGGCTTTTTATTAATGAGTCAAACTGGGCTGCTCCTGCCCACCATGCCCCCAGCAGCCGGCCAGGAGGAGAGCCAGGCCTGGGGCCCTGGGCCTGCACCACCTCCCCGCTGCAGCGCCACCACTGTCAGCAGGGTTTTTTTTTTTTTCCCTTGGTCATGGGTCTTGAACTCTGGGCCTGGGCGCTGTCCCTCAGCTCTTCAGCTCAAGGCAAGTGCTCTACCACTTGAGCCACAGCACCACTTCCAGTTTTCTGAGTGGTTTATTGGAGATCAGAATCTCACGGGGTGTGGTGGGGGGGGGGGACGGATATGTAGTTGTGGAGCTGGGAGGGAAGGGACAGTAAGGGAAAAACAAAGGAGAAGTCAACAAAGCTTAATAAGAAATGTACTCATTACCTTGCTCATATTATTGTAAGCCCTCCATACATAATTTTCACAATAAAAAACATTAAAAAAAAAAGTCTCACAGGAGTTTCCTGCCCAGGCTTGCTTTGAACCGCAGATCCTCAGATCTCAGCTTCCTGAGTAGCTAGGATTATAGGCGTGAGCCACTTTTGGTGGGTCATGGGGCTTGAACTCTGGGCCAAACTCTGTCCCTCAGCTCCTTAGCTCAAGGCTGAATGGTTTATTGGAGATAAGAGTCTCACAGACTTTCCTGCCTGGGCTGGCTTTGAACCGTGATCCTCAGATCTCAGCATCCTGAGAAGCTAGGATTACAGGCGTGAGCCACTGGTGCCTGGCTTCAGTAGGGTTTTTTTTCCTTTTTTTTTTTTTGTTGGTTGTGGGCCAACAAAAACTCTGGGCCTGAGTGCTGTCTCTCATCTCTTCAGCTCAAGGCTAGTGCTCTACCACTTGAGCTATAGTGCCACTTCCGGTTTTCTGGTGGTTTATTGGAGATAAAGAGTTTCACGGACTTTCCTGCCCCTGCAGGCTTTGAACTGCAATCCTCAGATCTCAGCCTCCTGAGTAGCTAGGATTACAGGCATGAGCCACCAGAGCCCGGCTTTCAGCAGGATTTTCTAAAAGCCTGTACTTGGCTCAGAGAAACTACCTTTTTCTGGAAATAAAGATGAAGCAGCTTGCTGAGAAAATGGACCCTGGTTTTTTTTTTGTTTTTGGTCAGCCGTGGGGCTTGAACTCTGGGCCTGGGTGCTGTACCTCAGCTCTTCAGCTCAAGGCAAGCGCTCTACCACTTGAGCTACAGCGCCACTTCCGGTTTTCTGTTAGTTTATTGGAGATAGGAGTCTCACAGTCTCTCCTGCCCGGGCTGGCTTTGAACCTCGATCCTCAGATCTCAGCCTCCTGAGTAGCTAGGATTACAGGCGTGAGCCACCAGCGCCCGGCTTGGACCCTGGTTTTGTTTTGACTAAAATCTCAGCTCAGGAAATGGAGCAGATTATACAACTGAAGGCTTACCACAGTAGGATTGAAACCGGACAGTGGAGATGCTAAAACTGCCCAGGGTACGGTGCCCTCCTTGCAGGGGAAGAATGATCCTGAGCTCCCAAGTTCAGAAGGAATGCCGAGAAACAAGGACATCGCCACACCCTGGGGCTGCAGAACAGACTGGCAATGTCCACACTCCACTGCACCAAATACTGATGCCTGTGCCCAGCTGGCCACATGCACTGTTGAGACCCCCAGCTGGCAGGCCAGCCTTCCCTCCTGGGCTCCGCAGGCTCTCAACTGTAAACAGGCAGGAGCCTCAGGAAGTGATGGCACTGGGAAGCCAGTGATGGCACTGGGGAGGGACAATGGCCCCCGTGTGCCAGATGTTGGTCTTTGTGACCTATATCTATGAAGTCATCTCTTCCTTTTGATATTTTGTCAGTTATGGGGCTTGAACTCAGGGCCTAGGCACTGTCCCTGAGTTCTTCAGCTCAAGGCTAGTGCTCTACTGCTCTACAACTTTGAGCCACAGCACCTCTTCCAGTTTTCTGGTGGTTAACTGGAGTTAAGTTTCAGGGAGCTGGGTGCTGGTGGCTCATGCCTGCAATCCTAGCAACTCAGGAGGCTGAGATCTGAGGATCGCTGTGGCTCAAGTGGTAGAGCTCTAGTCTTGAGCTGAGGGACAGCGCCCAGGCCCAGAGTTCAAGCTCCACAATCAACAAAAAAAAAAAGTTTTAAATGGAGGGGGTAACAATGCTCAATAGGAAGGGTACTCATTACCTTGCTCATGTAACTGTAACCCTCTGTATAGTATCTTTACAATAAAAAATTAAAATAAAATAAAATAAGAATAAAAAGTTTCAGGGACTTTCCTGCCAAGCTGGCTTTGAACAGCGATCCTCAAATCTCAGTCTCCTGAATAGCTAGGATTATAAGTGTGAGGCACTGGCGCCCGGCCTTTTTGATTCTTTTTGAGACAGGGTCTATGTAGTCCAGGCTGGCCTCAAACTCTTGATCTTCCTGCTTCACTCCTTGAATGCTGGGATTCCTTATATGTGTGACCCCATTATTATAATTTTTTTTTTTTTTTTTGGTCAGTCGTGTGGCTTGAACTCTGGGCCTCCGCGCTATCCCTCAGCTCTTCAGCTCAAGGCTAGTGCTCTACCACTTGAGCCACAGCGCCACTTCTGGTTTTCTGAGTAGCTTATTGGAGCTAAGAGTCTCATAGCCTTTCCTGCCCAGGCTGGCTATGAATGGTGATCCTCAGATCTCAGCCTCCTGAGTAGCTAGGATTACAGGCATGAACCACTATGCCCGGCTCCATTACTGTAATTCTTGCAACTCCACACATATTTCCATTTTACACAGGAGGTCAGAAGCCCTGTGTGCATAGGCTGGCCAAGCCTATACTACCAAAAAGTAGCTCCCAGACTCATGTGAACTTCTGGATTTCTACTAATACAAACCCAAACAAGAACATACAGCCTTCCCTCCACGCCCAGGCAGTCCCAGGCTCCAAATGGCACTGCTAACACATCCTGGAAAAACCACTGTTGCAATAGCACTTGGCTTCGATTCCAAGCCACAGATTACAAGGCTCCTTCACAGAATCGTCTAAATTAAGCAAGTCTCCTAGTGACCCCTATGAAGACAGAGCAAGCTTTGTGACAACTCCTGTAGAGTGAGAAGAGCAGGCTGGAGAGGCCGAGAGCTTGACCCAAGATGACACAAAGCAGGCTGAGGATGTGCATCTCCCCTCCCCCACCCCCCAAGATGACACAAAGCAGGCTTGGGGTATGTGCCTCCTGCCCTCCAAGCTCCGAGGTAAACCAGGATTACCTGCAGCTCAGCTTTGCTCTTCCTCGAGCTCCTTCGAACTGGGTAGAAGTCTGTGAGTTTTCGATTCTGTTGTGTTTTTCCTTGAACTCTGGATGAGCAGGAAACAACAAGTTCAGGACTGAAGCCAAATCACACCCAGGGGCACCTCATCCCCCAGGAGGATGCACCTGGTAAACATGTCACTTAAGCACCTGTCACCCACTGGAACTTCACTGCAGGAGAGCTCAGCTGCATCGGGGTCGAGGCCGGGGGGCCTCATATTCAAGGCCAGGCTGCCCAGTCTCCCATTGGGAGGGGCAGGGAAGGTCAGCCTTGAACTTTTTTTTTTTTTTTTTTGGGGTCCGGTCATGGGGCCTGAACTCTGGGCCTGGGCACTGTCCCTCAGCTCTTCAGCTCAAGGCTAGCGCTCTACCACTTGAGCCTCTGCGCAACTTCCGGCTTTTTTCTTTTTGCTTATATGGTGCTGAGGAATGGAACCCAGGGCCTCATGCATGCAAGGCAAGTGCTCTACCACTGAGCCACCTTCCCAGCCCCAGCCTTGAACTTTGGACAAGGCTGTACTGAGACACAGACTAATAATGGCATCAAGCTGATGACTCAGGGGATCTGAGCCTTAGCCGGAAGGGAGGCTGAGAAGCCAAGGCTTAATCCCAGGGGCCTAAACAGGTTCAGGGGCCACAGGAACGCAGCTGCTCTGTGAGGAGGGGTCCAAGCAACTTACTTTTTCCGAGGAGCAGGTTTGCCTTTGAGAGCCTTTTTCAGGGCTTGCTTGGCAACAGCTGCATTGGTAGGATCACAGGAAGAGGGTGGAGTTTTTGGAGGTTCTGCTGCTTCGGATTTTTGGTTTGGAAAAGGTGCCAGGGGACCTCTCCTGGCATCTTTGAACTTTTGTTCCTCTGATTTCATGGTGCTTCGTATCGTGTTCCCAGCATTTCTTTTCTCTGCAGCAGCAGGTAAGAAAGGCTTATTCTCTACTCTGGATCCCAATCCCTCCCTCCCTCCCTCCCTCCCTCCCTCCCTCTCTTGATCATGGCGCTTGAACTAAGGGCTTGGGTGCTGTCCCTGAGCTTTTGTGCTCAAGGTTAGAACTTTCCCACTTTGAGCCCCAGCTCTACTTCCAGTTTTGGGGTGGTTAAATGGAGCCAAGAATCTCATGGACTTTTCTGCTCAGGCTGGCTTTAAACTGTGATCCTCAGATCTCAGCCTCCTGAGTAGCATGGATCACAGGTATGAGCCACCAGCACCCAGCCTTCTGGCTCCCAATTTCTGAACATCATCTGTGCTTTACAGCAGGGTGAAAAGGGCCATGGAGTATGAGGTAGCAGTGTCTGGGGCCTGCACAGCCTGTATGCACTAATGTGACCACAGTAGGGCAAGGCTCTAGTTCTCTTTCTTTCAGTTGTGGGGCTCGAACTCAGGACCTAGACATTATCCCTGACCTTTGTTTTCCAAGGCTACCACTCTATGCCACAGCTCCACTTCCAGTTTTCTGGTGATTAATGAGAGTCTCACAGCTTTTCCTGCCCAGACTGGCTTTGAACCATGATCCTCAGATCTCAGCCTCCTGAGTAGCTAGGATTATAGGTGTGAGCCAACAGCACCTGACTAGGTTCTAGTTCTTTGACCTAAGAATGGGGTAGAGGACTTGCGCTTTGCCTCTGGCCATGGGGCAGAGCCTTTACAGCCATGAGTGCCCAACTGGCTGCTTTCCTGAAGTGGTACCACCGAGCCATGAAAACACTAAAGCAGGAGCCAGCAGGAGCAAGAGGACAAACTGGACACCTCCCCAAGTTTCCTTTCAGATTCTTTTTGTGTGTTTGTGTGCATGCTGACACAAGGGGCTTCAACTCAGGGCCTCACATTCGCACTTAGCTTTTTCACTCAAGGCTGATATTGTGCCACTTGATCTCCACCACCTCCACTTCCAGCCTTTTGGTAGGTTCACTGAAGACAAGAGTCACACAGACTTTACTGCCTCAGCTGGCTTCAAGTCACCAATCTCAGATCTCAGACTCCTGAGTAGGTGGATTACAGGTATGAGCTACTCGTACCCAGCACACATTTTGGATTCTTAACTAAGTAACCCTTCCTTCTGGTAGGGTGGAGGCTGGTGCTTGGGAGTTCTCAGTGTGATGCCTGGCAGATGAGTAAGACTGCAAAGAGCACTACTGACAACTGCCTGGCATATCAGTGTGCAGCAATTTTTTTTTTGCCAGTCCTGGGGCTTGAACTCCGGGTTTGATCACTATCCCAGAGCTTCTTTTGCTCCAGGTTATCAGACTGACACTTGAGCCACAACCCACTTGGGCTTTTTCTGTTTATGTGGTACTGAGGAATGCATGCTAGGCAAGCACCCTACCACTGAGCCACCTTCCCAGCCCAACATTTTTGGCCAGTCTTGGGGTTTGAATTCAGGGCACTGTTTGGGCACTGTCCTTGAGCCTCTCTGTGATCAAGGCTAGCACTCTATTACTTGAGCCACAGAGTCACTTCCGGCTTTTTCTGCTTGTTTGGTACTGAGGAATTGAACCCAGGGCTTCATGCATGCTAAACAAGCACTCTATCACTAAGCCACATTCCCAGCCCAACTTTTTTTTTTAAATAAATGATTTTAGCTGGGTGCCGGTGGCTCACGCCTGTTATCCTAAATATTCAGGAGGCTGAGCCAGCCCAGGCAGAAAAGTCTGTGAGACTCTGATCTCCAATAAACCACTAGAAAACTGAAGTGGTGCTGTGGCTCAAGAGGTAGAGCGCTCGCCTTGAACTGAAGACCACAAGGACAGTACCCAGGCCTGGAGTTCAGGCCCCACGACTGGACCCAACCCCTCCCCCCGCAAAAAAAAAAAAAAGGCCGCATACTGTGCAAGTGTCCACATCGGGCAAGGCAGAGACAGAGAGGAGCTTAACAGCTGCCTGCGACTGTGGGGGACAGGAAATGGGAAAAGACCGAGCTGCCTTTGAAGGTGATGATAATGCTGTGTAACTGGACAGCAGTAATGGAGACATACCAAAACCAGTACACTGTACATTCAAAAGCTATAAACTTGGGCTGTACCAACAGCTCAATGGTTTTTTTTTTTTTGGTCGGTCGTGGGGCTTGAACTCTGGGCCTGGGTGCTGTCCCTCCGCTCTTCAGCTCAAGGCGAGCGCTCTACCACTTGAGCTACAGCGCCACTTCCGGTTTTCTGTTGGTTTATTGGAGATAGGAGTCTCACAGTCTCTCCTGCCCGGGCTGGCTTTGAACCTCGATCCTCAGATCTCAGCCTCCTGAGTAGCTAGGATTACAGGCGTGAGCCACCAGCGCCCGGCCCAACAGCTCAATGGTAAGAGTAGCTGTACAGTATGCACAAGGCCCTGGGTTTGAGCCCCACCACAAAAGAAGGAGAAAGGAAGTGGCGCTGTGGCTCAAGTGGTAGAGCGCTCACCTTGAGCTGAAGAGCGCAGGGACAGAGCCCAAGCCCAGAGTTCAAGCCCCACAACCGACTAAAAAAAAAGGAGAAGAAAGAGGAGGAGGAGAAGGAGGAGAAGGAACATAAATTAGGACCTGAGAATTATAACTCAATAAATAAAAGAGAAAAATAAACACATAAAGACCAAGCAGGTCACTCTGACTTCCTCAGTCCTTCCTGGGTGGAACGAGGAGGCACAGCGGCTGGGAGAGGCGACGGGCACAGCAGTGTGTGGAACTGCGTGGTACCAGGACCATCACATGTAAGGTCAGTCTGTACCATGCTAGTCAGGAGTAAGAACCAAAGCACACCAGACCTCAAGTTCTGTCTCCTCTTTTTTTTTTTTTGGGTCCGGTCATGGAGCCTGAACTCTGGGCCTGGGCGCTGTCCCTCAGCTCTTCAGATCAAGGCTAGCGCTCTACCACTTGAGCCACAGCGCCACTTCCGGCTTTTTTTTTTCTGCTTATGTAGTGCTGAGGAATCAAACCCAGGGCCTCATGCGTGCAAGGCAAGCGCTCTACCACTGAGCCACCTTCCCAGCCAGCCCAGACCTCAAGTTCTACCAGTGCCAGCGTGTACACCACACATTTGGGAGAATATCCATTTTGTCCCAGACTGAAGTGGACATAGCACTGGCTAGCCACCATTCCAGAGACCTGCCGTGTTGCCATTGATGGCAGTGGATGCAGTGGGGGGACACTGCAATCCCGAATGTGCTAGATCCTTCAAAGAGCCCCGAGGTTGAAATAGGACTTCATTCTCTCCTAATTTACGGGGGAGACAACTGAGGTTCACAAAAGAGCAGCTATCTGGTCAAGTCCCTGCCTTCCCAGGTGCAGAGTTAGGATTAGAGCTTGAAATCAAGTGAAATAATGTTGCTCTGTGCACTGTGGGGGTGGGAAGGGGGAATAAGGGCTCTATCCTGGTTCTCAGATCTGGACCCAGAGGTCAGGATACCCCGTCTAAGCCTTTCTTGGAAATACAAAGCTTCTTCAGCAGAGCTGCTCTGCTAGGCATGTTTTTAATCAGTGAAGCACACAGCTAAGGGAGACCCCACATCCCTATCCCTTCCCCTTTTTTTCCCCCCTTCATTGTGGGGCTTGAACTCAAGGCCTGGGAGCTGTCCCCGAGCCTCTTTATGCTCAAGGCTAGCACTCTACCACTTAAGCCACACCTCCACTTCCAGCTTTTTCGGGTGCGTAATTTGCAGGTAAGTCTCACGGGGACTTTGAACCGTGACCCTCAGATCTCAGCCTCCTGAGTAGCTCGGATTACAGGTGTGAGCCACCAGTGCCCAGCAGCTTTTTTTTCAGGTGCCTGTCTTCGAGTTTGAACGCAGGGCCTTGGCACTGTCCCTGAGCTTCTTTTTGCTCAAAGCTAGCTTTCTACCACTTTAGTCACAGCTCCACTTGTGGCTTTTTGTGATTAACTGGAGATAAAGAGTCTCATGGACTTTTCCTGCCAGAACTGGTTTCCAATGGTGATGCTCAGATAAGATTACAGGCATGAGCCACCAATGCCTGGCTCATTTCTGGCTTTTCTGAGGGTAGTTTATTGGAGATAAGAGTCTCATGGACTTTCCTGCCCAACCTGGCTTTGAACTATTATCCTCAGATCTCTGCCTCCTGAGCAGCTAGGATCAGAGGCATAAGCTGCCAGATCCCCCCACTTTTCTTTTTGGTTTTGTGGGTGCTAGCGCTGAGGCTTTAACATGGGGCGTGAGTACTGTCACTGAGCTTTTTTTGCTCAAGGCTAGAGCTCTATCTCTAACTTTTGGGGGATAGTTTATTTATTTATTTATTTATTTTTGGGGGTCCGGTTGTGGGGCCTGAACTCTGGGCCTGGGCGCTGTCCCTCAGCTCTTCAGCTCAAGGCTAGCGCTCTACCACTTGAGCCACAGCACAACTTCCAGCTTTTTCCTTTTTGCTTATGTGGTGCTGAGGAATCGAACCCAGGGCCTCAGGCATGCAAGGCAAGCGCTCTACCACTGAGCCACCTTCCCAGCCCTGGGGGATAGTTTATTGAAGGTAAGAGTCTCAGGGACTCTCCTGCTTGGGCTGACTTTGAACTATGATCCTCAGACCTTAGCCTCCTGAGTAGCTGGGATTACAGGCATGAGCCACTGGTGCCCAGCGCCATGGAAGCTTTGAAAGTGAATATTTGGGCAAGAGCAAGATTGGTACAGGAAGCAGATTGCTTGCAATGCCAGGCAGAATTCTCAGTAACCGAATTATTTTCTCATTCAATCCCACTCCTCCAGTGCTGGGGCTCAAACCCAGGGTTTCACGCCTGCTAGACAAGTGCTCTACCACTGAGAGCTACCCCAGGTTCACTCAATATTTTAATTCCAAATCTCACCACACCTGCTTCAGAGAATAACAGAACACTTAAACAGAAAGAAATTTAAGGATGAGGTCAGGCCTGTCTGTCACAAAAAGGAAGGGAGCGGATCCCTTGCATTCACTCAACACTTTGGCTGCCTGGTCCACACAATCCAGATTCTCCACTTCTGCTTTAGCAGTTACTGCCTCTGTGAGGGCAGGGCAGGGCAGGGCAGGTGCATTACTCTTGCGACGTGGCAAGAGCCGCCTACAGGATGTGCTAACTCTTGAGCAAGCAGGGAGAACTAGTCTGGCCAACAGGGCCCACACCCTGAGACAACTTAGGCTTTTCACCAGTTTTTGTTTCTTGGCAGCAAGATGGAACTAATGAAATCTCACATTCAGGAATGGAGACAAGGTTAGACAAACATGGCACTCACAGGCAGCATTCTTGTAGAGATGAGGGCTTTGGCAACCAGACCTGCTGGGTCCAAATGGGGCCACTTTGGGGCTTACCTTCTCGCTTCTTGTAGATTCCGGCTAATGGTTTCCCCTGGCACTTGACTTCGTGATGTGCAACTGAGTTCTCTTCCTGAAGGGGGGAACGCATCCCAGCGCATTTGTTGGGGCTCATATAGGAATAGATCTTTGACTGCCCGGCAAACACGTTCTCCTAGAAAGACAAATTGGGATTCTGAAAGACGCTTGAAAAGAAAAAGCTCACCCAGCACTTAGGGGAAATAAGAAGACAAAAGGCAAGCCGGGCGCCGTGGCTCTCGGTGACTGTTCTGCCAGGGAATGCCGGCCGGGCTCTCCCAGGGGAGCTCGGGCCAGGCTCTGGGTCGGCCAGGTGGGCGGCAGAGGTTCCTGGACGCGTGCGGTCTCAGGTTCCGGTGGCTCAGGGGACACGTGGCCAGCGGGAAGAGCTGGTACGGGAAGAGGCTGAGCTACCCCGCGGCAGGGAGGTCGGAATGACCCAGGAAAGCTGCCGGGGAGGCCGGCTGCTGAACTGCCGGCGGAGGCGCAGCCCAGAGACAGGCCGCAGGGGCCCTAATTAACGCCGGGGCGGCCCCGCTGCCCACGCCTCCCTTGCAGAAGCCGCAGGCCGGGCCACCCTCGAACCACGCCCGGCACGGTGGTCGGAGCGCTGCTCCGGGCGACGGGGGAGGCCGAGGCGGGCCGGGCGGCGGGAAGAGGCTCCCCGGGAACAATGCCGAGCCTCTGCCCGCCGGCGGCGCGGGGGCCCCGGCGGGCCGGGCGCGCGGCGGCCGCCTCGGCTCCTTCGCGAGCCACCGAGTCCCGGGGAGGGGAAACGCGCCAAACTTTCCGGGGTCGAAGCCCGCCGGGGTCGTGGCGGAGCCGAGGGCGGCCGCCGCGCCCGGCCGGGCAGCGGAAAAAAGGCGGCCGGCCCGGGGCCGCGGCCGGGGAGGGTGCCTGCTTACCCCGTCGGTGCGGGGCCGCCCCGGGCCCCTCCGCTCCACCATCTCCGGGCCCGGGGCCGTCGCTGCCACCGCCGCCGCCGCCGCCGCCGCCTCCACCGCGCGGGGCTTGGACATCTTCCTGCCTGGAGAGGGGGACCCGGGGGAAGCGGGGAGGGGCGCTCAGGGCGCGGGTGGCGGGGCGGGGAGCGGGGCCGCGGCCCGGGCGCCGCAGCCATGTCTCGAGGGCCCGGCGGCGGAGGCCCGGCCGCGCCGCGGGGAGGCCGGGGCCGAGCGGCCGGGCCGAGCCGTGGGGACGCCTCCCGCGCCGCCCTCCCGCCGCCCCGGCCCCGGCCGGGCCCCGCGCGCCGCCCGCGCGGCCGGGCCCGACACACCCACCTGCAGCCCCGCCAGGCCCATGGCGGCCAGCCCCGCGCCCTCGGCGCCCTCGCCGCCGCGGCCCGGCCACCAGCGCTGCCGCCGCCGCTGCTGCTGCTGCTGCCGCCGCCACCAGCGCCGCCGCGGCGCCCCGGGGAAGGGCCGGCGGCGCCCCACGGCGCCCCCTTCCCCCATGGCCTGCGAGCAGGGCCCGGCACCCGCGCGCCGCGGCTCCCGGGCCGCCCCGAGCCAGGGACGCAGGGAGGGAGGGAGGGAGGCGGGCGGCGTCCTCCGCGGCCGGCCCGCCCACCGCCGGGCTCCGGGCCCCGCGAGGGGGCTGGCGGGGCGGCGGGGCGGCTGCGCGGCTGGGGGGAGGGGCGAGGAGGCGGGGGGAGGGGCGGAGCGCGGGCCGCCGCCGCCTCCAATCCCCGCGCGGGCGCGCCCCCTCGCGTGCGCGCCGGCCGGACCTCCGCCCGCCCCGCCCCCGGGCCGGGATTCGAGGAGGGGGCACCGTGAAGGGGGTGACGCTTAGGGGTCTCCCAGGGCCACAGCCGGGAAGTGCCGGGCCGGGGGTCACCCCGAGGCCCGGGCTGGCTGGGCGGCCCCGCCGGCGCACTCGGCCCGGCGCTGGGACGGGGGCGCTGGGCAAGTTCTCACAGCTCGGCCCGGGAGGGGGCTCGGCCGGCTGGCGAGGGCTGCGCAGGCCCCGCCCTGGGAGCCCGCCGGGCTCCGGGGCTGCGAGCCCTGGATTTGTGCAAAGTCACAGATGCAAACGCTGGGCACTGCAGGCTGCCGGGTCACCTCGGAAAACCCGGCAGCGGTGCTTTGGCACCACCACCGGGCCACGTCCAAGCCGGGCCCGGCTTCGGCGTAGAACTACCTGGAACACTTTCCAACATCCACAGAATAGCCGTTTGTAGCCGTCTCTCCATCTTGCCGACTGAATAGGATTGAGTGCTGAGACACTACTGCAATGCCTCCCAAATTTATCCGAGGCAAAGCTCCACCACCACCACCACAGCCCCAGGGAGATGAGGGGCTCCACTGAAATGTCTTCAGAGATCACATCTGAAGATCAAGAATAGACACAGAGCTGTAATCCCAGCTACTCAGGAGGCTAAACCTGGGCAGAAAAGCTGAAAGACTCCTACCTCGAACCACCAAAGAGCCAGTAGAGGTGTGGCTCAAGTGGAAGGCCATGAGGAATAAAGCTCAGGGATAGCACTCAGGCTCTGAGTTCAAGCCCCAGTACCGACATACAGATACACAGATACAAAAAGAGACTAGGGCTGGGAAAGTGACTCAGTGGTAGAGTACTTGCCTCACATGCATGAGGCCCTGGGTTGGAATCCTCAGCACCACATAAACAAAAAGTAGGAGGTGACATTGTGGCTCAAGTGATAGAGCACTAACTAGCTTTGAGCTGAAGAGCTGAGGGACAGCGCCTAGGTCCAGAGTTCAAGACCCACAACGGAAAAAAATAAAAACAACAAAGCCAGGCACCAGTGGCTCACACCGGTAATCCTAGCATCTCAGGAGGCTGGGATTTGAGGATTGCAGTTCAAAGCCAGCCCAGGTAAGAAAGTCCATTAGATTCTTTTTTTTTTTTTTTTTTGGTCGGGTCGTGGGGCCTGAACTCTGGGCCTGGGCGCTGTCCCTCAGCTCTTCAGCTCAAGGCTAGAGCTCTACCACTTGAGCCACAGCACCACTTCCGGCTTTTTTCTTTTTGCTTATGTGGTGCTGAGGAATCGAACCCAGGGCCTTGAGCATGCAAGGCAAGCACTCTACCCCTGAGCCACCTTCCCAGCCCCTCCATTAGATTCTTATCTCCAACTAACCACCAGGAAACTGAAAGTGGTGCTGTGGCTCAAGTGGTAGAGCACTAACTAGGTCCAGAGTTCAAGACCCACAACCAACATACCCCAAAAATAAGAGAGTACCATGTTGGACCAAGAGGGCTCCAAAGTGACATTGTGATGCCGAGGACAAACCATATGGAAATGTCTCTGTAGCTGAAGGCAGATGAGCTTTGCAGTCTGTTGCCAAATTTCCACAGAAAATATGGCTCAACATTCTGTCCAGGTCATAAAGCATTTTAGCTCATCCTCCATAGACACACTTATGGCCATACCTTTGCCCAAATACAGGGCGTACACTGTAAGTTTAGTGCCCATTCTACCTTCCAGTGAATTCTGCGCCTTGAGTACCTCGAACATAAATGCAAATCATTCAGTGTAAGTTTCAAAACAGTGCTCCCTTTCTTTAAAGGTGTTTTATGTCTATAATACTACACATTGTCACTGAAACACAAGCCTGGGGATGTAGCTCAGTGGTAGAGCACCTGCCTAACTGCCTAGCTCAATCCTGAACCACAAAAACAAGTAAAATCCTATCTGGGCTGTACATAATTGACGCAAGCCTCTAATCTCAGTACTCAAGAGGCTGCTGCAGGGGTTGCTGAGAATTTGGGGCATGTGGTGAGATCCTGTCTCACTCAAAACAAAAAACAAAAATCCAGGAATACAAATGTTAATGTTGCCAAATATGCTGGGAAGGTGGCTCAGTGGTAGAGCGCTTGCCTTGCATGCCAGAGGCCCTGGGTTCGATTCCTCAGCACCACATAAGCAAAAATAAATAAATAAACGTTGCCAAATATTTTACAGAAACATAATTCAACTATTACTAGTAATAAGCAGTTATGAAATGTTCACAATGTGCTAGGCCTTATAATACTGCATTATTTAAGCGTCACAACAATTTATGAGAAGATATGATTATTCTTATTTCACAGATGTGGAAACTGAGGCTCAGAGCAGACAAATCACTTGTATAAGAGCCGTATGATCAGTAAATGATGGCACTGTGTAGGATCTGAACCCAGATGATCAATGTGAATGTACTTTACCATAAGGAATGTTTACTACATGTCTTGATTTCAAGACAAGCACAACTAACATAAAGATAATTCATTTGTTCAGAATATATTTACTGGAGCAAATGTACTTTAGGCCTTATGCTTAGAACACAGATCTGAACATAGAGCTGGGAAATGGAGAAGCCCTTCCCACCTGGGAGAGGTTAGCAGGACCTTCTAGGTCACAATGATCATTATGGATTTTGTCCTAGGAACCACAGGAAGGTTGAGGGAGTAGCAGTGAGGGTCACTCGATAGAAATTCATATTCTCAGGCTGGGAATGTGGCTGAGCGGTAGAATGTTTCCTAGCATGCATAAAGCTCTAGGTCCTACATAAACAGAAAAAGCCAGAAGTGGCACTGTGGCTCAAGTGGTAGAGTGCTAGCTTTAAGCAAAAGAAGCTCAAAGACAGTGCCCAGGCCCTGATTTCAAGCCCCAAGACTGACCAAAAAAAATTTTTTTTAAAAATCCATATTTTTGGGAACCTATCTAGCTGCCATGGGATAATGAAAACTGAAGACCTGAAGTAGAAGAAAGAACAGTTAGAAGAGGTGGTAAAGGAATAAAGATAGATTGATCCTCCTAAAAATAACATGATTGCAGATTGGGTATGGTAATGCAGGCCTATAATCCTAGACATTAGAAAGCTGAGGAAGATTACCACATCAAGTACATAGAGACTTACATAAAGAGTTCTAGGTTAGTCTGGGCTACCTAGTAAGATTCTGCTTAAAAAAAAACAAAAACAAAAACAAATGGTACCAGTGGCTCATGGTTGTAATCCTAGCTACTTAGGAGGCTGAGGATCAGGGTACAAAGCCAGCCTGGGCAGATAAGGCCCTTGAGACTCTTATCTCCAACATACTACTAAGAAAAAACTATAAGTGGCACTATGGCTTAAGTGGTGGAGCACTAGGCTTGAGCAAAAGAAGTTCAGAGTGGGGAGGGGGGGAGAGATGGGAAGGGGAAATAAAGGAGGAGGCAACAATATTTGATAAGAAATGTACTCATTAGGGCTGGGAAGGTGGCTCAGTGGTACAGTGATTGCCTCATATGCATGAGGCCCTCGGTTTGATTCCCCAGCACCATAGAAGCAGAAAAAAGTGGCTCAAGTGGTAGGGCACTAGCCTTGAGCTGAAGAGCTGAGGGACAGTGCCCAGACCCAGAGTTCAAGCTCGATGACCAACCAAAAAAAAAAAAAAGAAAGAAAGAAAGAAAAGAAATGTACTCATTATCTTGCCCATGTAATTGTAACCCCTCTGCATGGTATTTTCACAATTAAAAAAAAAAAAAAAGCTCAGAGTCCGGCTGGGAAAGTGGCTCAGTGGTAAAGTGCTTGCGTTGCATGCATGAGGCTCTGGGTTTGATTCTTCAGCACCACATAAGCAGAAAAAGCCAGAAGTGGTGCTGTGGCTCAAGTGGTAGAGCACTAGCCTTCAGCTGAAGAGCTAAGGGACAGTGCGTAGGCCCAAAGTTCAGGCCCCACAACTGAGAAATTAATTAATTAATTAGTTAATTAAAAAAGAAGAAGCTCAGGGTCAGCACCCAGGCCCAGAGTTCAAGCTCCAGGACCAGTAGAAAATAAAAATTAAATACTTAAAAAACAAGAAAGAAAGAAAGCTGGGTGCCAGTGGCTCACACCTGCAGTCCTAGATACTCAGGAGGCTGAGATCTGAAGACTGAGGTTCAAAGCCAGCCTGGGCATGAAAATCCGTACGACTCATCTCCAATTAACCACCTGAAAACTGGAAATGGCGCTGTGGCTCAAGTAGTAGATCACTAGCCTTGAGCTGAAGAGCTCAGGGATAGCAACCAGGCCTAGAGTTCAAGCCTCACAACTGACCAAAAAATAAATAAATAAAATAAGGGGGGGTAAATAACATGACTATAAGACTTCAAAATGAGAATGAAATTGAAAAGTTTGTTTAGATGACTCAGCAGGACTCTTTAAGAAAAAGCAGGACCAGCTGGGTGCTGATATCTCAACCCTGTAATCCTAGCTACTCAGAGGCCGAGATCTGAGGATTCAAGTTTAAGCCAGTCCAGACAGAAAATTCATGAGACACTTATCTCCAACTAATCAGCAAAAACCCGAAGTGGAGGTGTGGCTCAACTGGTAGAGCAACAACCCTCTTGACCAAAATAGCCGAGAAGGCAAAAGGCCCTGAGTTCAAGCCCCAATACCACACACAAGCCTGTTTATTTGATGTACTGCAAATCATTGGTATTTGAAATTCCAAACACCCAATATAATAGTTTGAAAGAGTAATGGAGACTAAGACACAGGTAACTATTAATCTGAGGTCAAGTCAGATAATGGAAATCACTAACTAATGCAGTAATTTTTATTTATTTACTGTCAGTCATGCACCTGAACTCTGGGCCTGGGTGCTGTCCCTCAGCTCTTCAGCTCAAGGATAGCACTCTACCAGTTGAGCCACAGCGCCACTTCTGGCCTTTTCTGCTTATGTGGGGGCTCAAGCATGCAAGGCAAGCCCTCTACCACTGAGCTACCTTACAAGCCCCTAATGCAGTAATTTTAAAGGAGACTTGTAAGCCTGCCAGGGAAGAAGCTAGAACTTTCCCCTTTACTTTGGTTGAGAAAGGGAGGTGGGCAGGAAAGCAAAGAGGCAGTAACTCCCACCTCTGAAAAACAGAATAAAAAATTGCAAAGACTAAGATAATAAACTGCCTGGCTCTCAATGATAATGACTATCTTCCCCTGTCTTAAGCATTCCAGTGACAAATGGTTAGTTTTGTCTCTATAGATTAATGAAAGCAAGCTCTATTTTTGTTTAGTTCACTATTTTTTCTTTTTTGGTCGTGGGTCTTGAACTCTGGGCCTGGGCCCTGCCCTCAGCTCTTCAGCTCAAAGGCTAGTGCTCTACCACTTGGGCCACAGCGCCACTTCCTGTTTTCTGGTGGTTAATTGGAGATAAGAGTCTCATGGACTTTCTTGCCCTGGCCTGGCTTTGAACTGTGATTCTCAGATCTCAGCCCCCTGAGAAGCTAGGATCACAGGCATGAGCTACCAGCGCCCGGCTTTCACTGCTTTTGAAATGGTGGCTTAAATGGTTTTGTGGTGAGGGGAAAAATGAACTGAGGAACCATAATTTTGCCAAGACTTATCTAAATGAGATAAATATAATGTAGATGCATATCACTTGTCTAAGGAATAATATTAGTCTTCTTATTGTGTGTGTTAATTTGGTTACAAAGTACTTTATACCTTTTTTCATTAGAGTCTAGAAAGCCAGGGAGCAGTGACTCACATCTCTAATTCTAACTATTCAGAAGGCTGAGATCTAAGGACTGCAGTTGAAGTCCATGAGACTTTTATCTCCAAATAACTAGCAAAACGCTAGAAGGGGAGCTATGGTCAAGTGGTAGAGCACTAGCCTTGAGCAAAAAAGGCTACGGGACAATACGCAGGCCCTGACTTCAAGCCACCATACTAGTACAAAAAGACAAAGGGAGGGGGGAAAAAGGAATCTGAGTAAGTCTTGTCCTCAAAGACCCTATTGGACTGATGGGGGAATAAATAATATAATTGGGTACAAGGTCTGAAAACTGAAAACAAGGGGATCCAATAAAAATCTGATGTTAAAAATCATGATTCATTATTCTTGCTACAGACAGCATACTGCATTAAGGCAAATTCCTACCAAAATACGTCGTCTTGGAATTTCGGGGAAAATGGCATATCCCAACTTTTTTTTTTTTTTTAAATAAGAATTTCTAAAGCCAAGGGCAAAGTGAGTGGCTCCTGCCTGTGCACCCCCAGCACATGGAGGGTCCGGAGGCTCAAGCCACTCCGGACTACAAAAGGAATCAATAGAAATAGTCATCTCACTCAACGGTTAGGCTTAAGTTTCCGGCTCCCGGGCGGGAGGGCGACTCGGCGGCCCGGCAGGCCGGGGAATGACCAGCGGTCGGAGATCTCTCTGCCGCATAACGAGGGCACCAGGATCCAGACAGCGAACTAAGTATGCAAGGAAGGCCCGCGGGCGGGGCCGTGGGCGCCCAGCGCGCCCTCCCGGGAAGCGGGGCCCCGATCGGTGGGCGCCAAGACCATCCCCGGGCCGTGCCAGCCGGCCCGTCACAGCCCGAAGCGGGCCACGGCGCCGCGCCCCGCCCCGCGGCGCAGGGCTGACTCAGGGCGCCGGGAGGGAAGGCGCCTGCGTTCACTCCAACGCGCTCCCCATCTCGTGGGTTACCGACCTGCGCCCCACGGAGAGCCCCGAGTGGGCGAAGCCCCACTGCCACCCGCGTCCCCCCAACCACTCCTCGGAGCCTGTTTCCCTGGAGCTTCGACACCTGGATCCACTCTCTGGAGAGGCAAAGCCAGAGGGCACCCAGGCTCCGGAAGGCACAGGAAGGGTCTTCTCGGGGCCACGGGAGCAGGGGCCGGGAGGGAAAGGTTCCGCACAGCCGCCTCCCCCGCCGCCCTCCCGGGTCCCACGCTCCACCCGCTACCGTTCCCGCCACCCTGACTCCCTCCAGCGCGAATTCCCAGCCGCCCGGTCTCCCCCGGCTCGGGCCACCCGGACAGATACCTCTAGCCATGGCCCGGCACTGTCACCGCCGGGGATCTCCCGGGAAACCGAGCTTTCGAAAAAAGTTAAAACAACTGTAGCCAACTGCTCGGCGGAGCTGCAGCTGCTCGCCCTGATTGGCGCGGTCCCCCGCTTCTCTGCGGGTTGCCTGCCAGGATAGGCGCGCTGGCTAGGAGATCCCGCCCCAGTCCCCGCCTCCGCCGAGGGGCGGGGCCACCGGCCACACTTTCTACAAACGCTTGCGGGACAGGTCCCGACAGAGAAGGTGGAGGGGGTTTAAATTTGCCCGTCTTTTGGCTTTGATTGGCTGAGCTGGAAGGAGACCCGCACGACCATTGGGGGAGACGCAAGCTCCTCCCCCTCCGTGCTGAAGCTCCGCCCCAGATTAGTCTTGCTGTTGAAGGCCCCGGCTTAGAACCTGTCCTGGCACTTCCGGTCTTTTAACGTGCTTGACCGGAACCTGACCTTTGAACTCCCCCCCAATCTCTCCCTTGGGTCTGAGAAGCCTAGCTTGCTTAGATGTCCCCATAGTCCATTTCTTTCTAGGTTTGCAAGGTTTATTGAAAAACTCCATTCTTCCGATATTTCAAACCCTGGGAACACCACTCCCAACATCTAACTGGTAAATGGGTAAGCTTTGGCGCTAGCTCAACACGCCCACCTGATTTATAGATGGGCTAATAAGAGGAAGCAGGGGCCCCTAGCAGTTGTTTTTTTTTTTTTTTTTGTTGGTCGTGGGGCTTGAACTCTGGGCCTGGGCACGCTGTCCCTGAGCCTCTTTGTGCTCAAGGCTAGTGCTCTACCACTTGGACCACAGCACCACTTCCAACTTCATCTGAGTAGTTTATTGGAGATAAGAGTCTCATGGACTTTTTTGCCTGGGCTGGCTTCAAACAGCGATCTTCAAATCTCAGCCTCCTAAGTAGCTGGGATTACAGGTCTGAGCCACTGGTACCAAGCTCCTTTATTATTTAAGGCAAAGTCCCATGGCTGGGAATGTGGCTTAGTGGTAGAGTGTTTGACTAGCACACATGAAGCCCTGGGTTCCATTCCTCAGTGCCACATAAGCAGTAAAAGCCAGAAGTGGCACTATGGCTCAAGTGGTAGAGTGCTATCCTTGAGCAAGAGAGGCTCAGGGACAGAGCCCAGGCCTGAGTTCAAGCCCCAGGACCAGAAAACAAAACAAAACAAGATCCCACTATATTGCTCAGGCTGACCCTAAAATACAATCCCCCTGTCTTAGCCTCCCAGGTGTTGCCATTACAGGCATGGTTGGTTTTAGGGGCTGGGAAGATGGCTCAATGGTACAGTGCTTGCCTTGCATGCATGAGGCCCTGGGTTCGATTCCTCAGCACCACATAAGCAGAAAAAGCTGGAAGTGGTGCTGTGGGTCAAGTCGCAGAGTGCTCACCTTGAGCTGAAGAGCTGAGGGACAGCACCCAGGTCCAGAGTTCAGGCCCCAAGACCAGCAAAAAAAAATAAAAAAATAATGGCAAATACTTAAAGAAATTGAAATGTAGAATATTCTTGGGTGAGAGTAAGGAAATAGTTGCTTCTTTATATTGGCAACTTTAGGTTATATCCTAAATAAAGAAGATCTATCCAGGTGCAGGTGGCTTACACTAATCCTAGCTACTCAGGAGACTGAGATCCAAGAACGAAAATTGTGATTGAAAGCCAGCCTGAGCAAGAAAGTCCGTGAGACTCTTTTTTTTTTTTTTGGGGGGGGGGGGGTGGAGGACAATCGTGGGGCTTGAACTCTGGGCCTGGTCGTTGTCCCTCAGCTCTTCAGCTCAAGGTGGGTACTCTACTTCTGAGCCAAAGTGCCACCTCCGGTTTTCTGGTGGTTAATTTGGACATAAGAGTTTCACCCAGGTTAGCTTTGAAATGTAATCCTCAGATCTCAGACTCCTGAGTAGCTGGGATTACAGGGGTGAGCCACCAGTGCCCAGCTTTTTTCCTCTTATTAGTCTGGCCCGAGTCACTTTCAGAAACAGCCTGTATGTGTGCCAACAGCCTCCATTCAGAATTCTCACTCTCAGCCCTGAAAAGCTCTGGAAGAGCCATCAACAACCCAGTGGTTCCCCTTCCTTAGGAGGCACAGAAACCAGCTCTGCAGGGCTTCCCCTCAGTTCCCTCTGCTCTCCTCACCCCAACTTATTCTGTTTTTCAGCCTTGGAGATGGAAGCTGCTTGCTGTACTTGTTACTTATAAGACTTCCATATTTGCTTTTTACTTTTTTAGTCCTCTTAACACCTGCTTAATAAACTTCCTATTTTAAATTCTCTTTTTACCCATCTGGACCCTATTATAAAGGTCCTCATAAAGATTCACTTTTGCCTGGGCACTGGTGGCTCATGCCTGTAATCTCAGCTACTCAGGATGCTGAGATCTGAGGATCACAGTTCAAACCCAGCTGGGTCAGGAATGTGAGACTCATGACCAATTAACTGGAAGTGGCGCTGTGGCTTAAGTGGTAGAGGGGACAGTGTCCAGGCCCAGCATTCGAGCCCCACGACCACCACCACCAACAACAAAAATTGTCCAGGTTAATGGGATATCCTTAAAGTTCAAAATGTTATCATTATGTAGGTTCATGTAGCTCATGCCTGTAATCCTAGCTATTCAGGAGGCTGAGAGCTGAGGATTGAGGTTCAATTCGAATCCAGCTCTGGCAGAAAAGTCCCTGGGAGACTCATCTCCAATTAACTTCTCAAAAACCAGCTGGGCGCTGGTGGCCACACCTGTAATCCTAGCTACTCAGGAGGCTGAGATCTGAGGATCGAGGTTCAAAGCCAGCCCGAGCAGGAGAGACTGTGAGACTCCTATCTCCAATAAACCACCAGAAAACCGGAAGTGGCGCTGTAGCTCAAGTGGTAGAGTGCTCGCCTTGAGCTGAAGAGCTGAGGGACAGCACCCAGGCCCAGAGTTCAAGCCCCACGACCGACCAAAAAAACAAACAAACAAAAAACCAGAAGTGTTGCTGTGGTTCAAGTGGTAGAGCAGTAGCCTTGAGCAGAAAAAGGCTCAGGGCCCAAGTCCTGGGTTCAAGCCCCAAGACCCATGAGAAAAAAAAAGTTATCATTTCATTAAGCATAGTAACGTGTCTATTAATGGACAAGGAAGTTTTGTTTCTGGTTTCAAAAGTCTCATCAGTTGTTCTCCTGCTTGGGCTGGCTTCAAACTGTGAGCTTCAGACTTCAGTCTGAATAGCTAGGATTACAGGTGTGAGCCACTAGCACACGCTTGAGATAGAGCTTTTTTTTGTTATTATAAAAGTGATGTACAGAGGGGTTACCATGTCATGTCATCTTTCTTTTGGAAAAGTCACCCCTTCCTTTGCTCTTTTGCAGTTTTTCCTTCCTGTCTCCCCTCACAAGTTGCATAGCTCATTTTGAAGATAGTAAGACATAGCTTTTTTTTTTTTTTGCCCGTTGTGGGGCCTGAACTCTGGGCCTGGGCGCTGTCCCTCAGCCCTTCAGCTCAAGGCTAGCGCTCTACCACTTGAGCCACAGCGCCACTTCCGGCTTTTTCTGCTTATGTGGTACTGAGGGCCTCATGCATGCAAGGCAAGCACTCTATCACTGAGCCACCTTCCCAGCCCAAGACATAGCTTTTTGATGGTTAATTGGAAATCAGAGTCTCACAGACTAGACTTCCTGCCTGGACTGGCTTTGAATTATGAATCTCATATCTCAGCTTTCTGAGTAGCCTAAGATCACAGGTGTGAGCCACTGGTGCCTTGCAATGCACCCAGCTTCTTGAATGATATTCTTAGTAGTTGTATTAGTTTGCTAAAGTGGCTATAACAAAGTACCAGAATGTGGAATGAAATATAAAATCATGTAGCAGGTACCTGGGTTAGAATTCCTCACATTAAGGATGGCAAAAAAAAAAAAAAAAGGATGGCTGATATGAAAGGCGTCTAGCATCTGCTATGAGCTCAGGGAAGTGCAACCTTCCAGTCTTCTGACCTCATGTTGGTGGTTTTTTGGACAGCTCTTTCGGTTCCCAGGCTTGTAGAAGTTTCAAGCAATCTTTACCAGCATCTTCCCACATTGTTCTCTCTGTCTCTCCCTTTTTTTTTGAATAAGGAGACAGTCACTTTGAATCAGGGCCCACCCTAATGACCTCATTTCAACTTGATTAAATTCAACCCTATCTCCAAATAAGGTTACATTCTAGGTGCTGTGGATTAGAATTTCAACGTGTGACTTTCTGGGAGATAAAATTCAAACTCTACCAAATTTGTGTGTGTGTGTGTGTGTACTCTGGGTCTTGGTGCTGTCCTTTAGAGTTTTCACTCAAGGCTGATGTTAGATCTACCACTTGAGCCACAGCTCTACTTCTGGCTTTTTGCTGGAGATAGAGGTCTCTCAGATTTGTCTTCCCAGGCTGGCTTTGAACCATGATCTTCAGATCTCAGCCTCCTGAGTATCTAGGATTACATATGTGTTATGGTGCCTGGCTCATGTGTGGGTTATTTTCAAGATAAAGTCTCCGTAGTCTTGCTTTTATAACCAAGGTAGCCGGAACCGTAATCTTGATACTTGTGCTTCCAAACATTGCTGAAATGACAGGCATACACCAGTATACACAGGCGTTATGCTTCACCCATAGCTGTGATGAAGTGTGTACCGCTATGCCCAGCCTCCGGTTGAGAATGGAGTTTCTCAACTTTTTTGGCCTAGGTTCACCTCAATAAGGCTCAAACCTGTCAGTACTTGGGCCTTCCAAGAAACTTTTATTTTTTTTTTACTTTGTTGGCTCCTGATCAACAAGCCTCTCTTCTCCACTGTTACTTGTGTTGCCTTTTCTTCAATTTGATTTTTCTTTGTTAGCCATTGGAACACCATGGAATTTTTATGGTTTCAGTTGTAAACCTAAGATTTATTTTATTTATTAATTTTTTTTGTCTGTCTTGGGGCCTGAACTCTGGGCCTGGGCGCTGTCCCTCAGCCCTTCAGCTCAAGGCTAGTGCCCTACCACTTGAGCCACAGCTCTACTTCTGGCTTTTTCTGCATTTGTGGTGCTGAGGAATCAAAGCCAGGGCCTCATGCATGCAAGGAAAGCACTCTATCACTGAGCCACCTTCCTAGCCCTGATTTATTTGTGTTTGTGTGTGTGTGTGTATTAGGGCTTGAATGCAGGACCTGGGTGCTTTCCCTTAACGTTTTTGCCCAAGGTTAATGTTCTACCACTGGAGCCATAACTCCACTTGTCTTTTTGATGGTTAATTGGAGATGAGAGTCTCATGGACTTTGCTGCCCAGGCTGGCTTTAAATTGTGATCCTCAGACCTCAGCCTCCCTTTACAAGGTAGGATTGACAGGCCTGCTGGAAACATGATCTTTCAGTTAGGTTCAAGGTAAAGGGATTATGCAGATAACAGCAAGGATCTGGCTTGGATGCCTAGTCAGAACCTCATAGGGTGCCAGTACCCAAAGGGTCTCACTTCTAGAACCCAGTATTCATTTGGGCTTAGTGTGTAATTGCAGGAGGGGCCACCTGGAAACTGAATCATGCCAACCAAGTCCAAAGACATCAGAATGTTTTCCATTTCTTCCTTCTATATAGCCATCCTTCTGTACTTCTGTCTCCCCACAGCTAATAGCTGTTTGTCTTCTGCAAAATGAACAGCAGTGAACAAGATAAAGTCATTATTTTGTGAAAATACCTTTATTTTTGTCACCATAGGTTTTAGTATATGTGTGATAAGCTGCAATTTTTCAAAATCAACTCAAAACGATCCCATACCCCCAAAGTATGAAATGACTAGAAGAAATCACTTGATAGCTCACGACTCCCCTAATCCTAGCAACTCTGGAGGGTGATATTTGTGGATCTGCGTATGAAGCCAGACAGGAAAACCTGTAAGACTCTTACCTCTGATTAACCAGCAAAATTCAGAAATTAGAGTTCTAGTTCAAGTGGTAGAGCATCAGCCTTGAGCAAAAAAGCTAAAGATGGTGCCCAAGCCCTGAGTTCAAATCCTAATACTGGCACACACGCGCGCGCACGCTAAAAATTTTTAAATTTTGCCAAGGCAAAACAAGTGACAGGTATACTATAAATAAAAAGATACATAAAAAAGGAAAGACAAACTAAAATGGAAGTGATTAGCAGAGTGATTCTTTAAAAAAGGTGTGTACACACCCACAACACCCGGGCAGGGGCAGTGGGTGGGGGCTCGAGGACATCCGAGCCGCGCCCCCCTCGGGCTCCCACACCCCCCCCCCCCCCCCCCCCCCCGATCGTAACCGTCTCAACGACCGAACGGCCCCGCCGGCCTGTCACCTAAGTCAGCGGGCCCAACCGCCTCCGCAGCAGGGCTTGGCCGCGGCGGGCCGAGCTCTCGTGCTCCCCGGTGTTCCATCTCGGAGACGACGCGGCGGGGAGCGCCCCGGGAGGGGGCCGCTGGGCTCGGTGCCCCCGGACCGTGAGGGCCGTCGGCGAGCGGGGGGCGCCGAGGCCCGCGGGGTCACGGCTAATAAAGCGCCTCGAGCCCGCACTGCCTGCGTGGTTTTCTAAGGTGCCCAGACGAGGAAGGGCTCGTCAGCGTGGAAACACAAACGCCCGCCACTGGGCAACCGCGGGGGTCGTCACGCCCCCAAAGGCTGGACTCGGAAAACAGCCGCGGACCCCTCCTAGCGCGACTTCGAAAGCGGGGACCGACGCATGCGCGCGCCGCCGGCCGCCCGCCCGGGGGCGCCCCAGAGCGCCGACCTTCTTCCCGACAGCCCGCGAGGGGGAGAGGGCGGGGTAACGGAAATCTCGCGAGACGTGGGGAGCGCCGGCGGAAGCAGCGAGCACGTGACCGTCCTAAGCGGCCTTCGCTTTCCCCCTCCCCCTCCGCGGGAACCCGGCCCCCTCACCCCTCGCCCACCCCGAGCCGCGGTAATGGGCCGCTGGGGTTCCGGAACTTCCTTGGATCGGTTCACGGGTACCGGGCAGCGGGCGCCGGCGGAGTCCTTTGTTTTTTGGTGGCGAAAGCAAGGGATGGTCGCGAGGGGGGGGGGGGAACCACCTTCCTTCACCTACGAGGGAGGCGGGGCGCAGAGGAGCGCGGGGGCCGCGAGGGGCGGGGGAGGAAGTCACGTGGGGCGCGGCGCGCGCGGTGCGGGAGCCGTGGCCCCGCCCCGTCCCCTCCTCACGGGGCGGGGGGCCGGGGGGAGGGGCGTCAAGATGGCGGCGGGGAGGTAGGCAGAGCCGGACGCCGCTGCCGCCGCCGCCGCCGCCGCTGCTGCTGCTGCCGCCGTCGCCGCCGCCGCCGCCGCCAGCGCCGCCGCCGCCTCGGTGGCCGCCTCCGCTCCGGTCGCTTCTGGCTTCTCAAGCCCTCGCCGCCCGGGAGGAGCTATCCTGGCGTCGTGTCCCGCGGGGAAAGTAAGTCCTCCCTTAGCCCTTTTCTCCTTTCACACTCGCCCTCCCGGACAGCCTTCCACTCCCACCCTCCTCGGGTCCGAGCGGGGCGGGCCCGGGGGGCGCAGCCGCCTCACCTCGCAGGTCTTGGGGCCTGGCTCCCGGCCGGGCCGCCCCCCGCAGCCCCGGGGTCCCGCCGGCGGCTCCGCCGCACTCGCGTCCGCCGCCCGGCAGCGCCGGCCCTGCGGTCGCCGCGCGTGGGGCTCGCTCCCCGGCTCGGGGAGCCCCGCTGTCCGGAACCGGAGGCGCCCCGGGAGCGGGGGAGCGGGGAGGCTGGGTCCGCGCACGCCGGCACCCCCGGGGCGCCTCCTTTTGCTTCCTTCTCCCCCCACGACCCGGGGCCGTGAGGTCCGGAACCGGCCGGAAAGTGAGGCGGGGATCCCTGTCGAGCGCTGCTGCGGGACGACTGCTGCGGGCTGGGGCGAGGGAGGCGGCGGGCGCGGCAGGGCCGCCCCTCGCGCGTCCGCAGCGCTCGCCGGCGGGGTCCCCCGGACCCGGCTCCCGGGCGCGTGGGGAAGGGCACGTGGGAACTCCACGCCTCGCCGGGCGGCCGCTTAGTCTCGCCGCGAGCCGGCGAGCTCGCCTCCCCAGCCCTCGGTGGCTGTGCGTCCTGGGGAATGGCGGTTGGGCGTTTGCTTATTACTTTCCAAGTGTCGGAGCCCCGAGCACCCGAGCTGCCCCGGCAGCGTCGGCCGGCGGGGTCCCCGGAGTGGTCGGGGGTGGGTTTAACCGCCGGGGAGATTCGGATGTTGCCGAACCCGGGGATTGTTTCTTTCCTGACCCCGGCAGCCAGCTCCTCCCCTTTCCACCCGGGCTTTGTGCTCGTGTGTAGTTAATGTTTGCGGACCACTAACTTGATCCTCTCCTGGAGAAGCTCTTTTTATGTGCGTGCCCCGTGGACTGTGGGAGGCTTTTGTTTTTTGGAGGCGCTGGTTGAGAAACGTGGGAAAGAACAGGCAAGAAAATGGGGAGTCAAAGCAACGTTTTTATCCATTGAATTGCGCAGCCAATTGTAACCGCACCCGGAAGTTTGTGCTGAACACGTGTTGAGGGAAGGTTAAAAACTGGTCCCCTTTGACCTTTAAAAGTTGATTGTTAACACTTTATGCGAAGTTAAACTTTTCAGATTCTCCTGACAACCAGCAGTAGAGGTGGGATAGAACGTCTGAAAAGTTGAATGGTTGTGTGTGTGTGTTGTGGGGGGGTGTCCAGCAAACGTCATCCCCCAGTGCTATACCTAGATTAGCACTTGCAGACAATTCTACCACTTAGGTGTGCAGGAAGAGTCTGTTTACCCTGTGCTTTCTAGCTATCAGAATTGATTTTCATAAGCACTGGGGAAAGCCATCATCATTGCACAGGAGATTTATACAGAATTTCTGGGATGAGATGCAGAATTTAGTCCTAGCAGTCCAGTGGGACATTAATTTAGAAAGGAAGGAAACATGTTTTTCTATTTTAAAGTCGTTCCCAGATAGGAATGCTGTAATCCCAGTTATACTCTGTCTTCCCACATCCCCAAAAGAGTTGGACAGTTTTCCTGACTGTAAGATGCATCTGTACATTGCTTTGACTTTTGCTTACTTCTCTGTTTAACTTTATTCTGTGCAACTCACTTCAGTTGCTGGACAAGTGTTCCAAAGGAAAGCTTGAATTATGGCTTACTTGAATGCTGTTACATGTTAAGGCTTTTCTTTTTCCAGACAGGGCTTTGCTATATATGTAGTACATGGTGGCTTTGCAGTGGAAATCCTCTGAAGTGTTGGGACTACAGGTGTGCTTCCCTTTTCCATGCTTTTAAATAGTGATCAGGAAGTGGCTCTGTGGTTCAAGCGGTAGAGCGTTAGCCTTGAGCTGAAGAGCTGAGGGACAGCGTTTAGGCCCAGAGTTCAAGCCCTATGACTGCAAAAAAAAAAAAAAAGTTATCAGCTTCCAGGGTTGCAGGCATGGGTCAGTTGGTAGAGCACCTGCAGGTCCCTGAGTTCAAATCCCAGTACTACCAGGGAGTGGTGGAGTGGACAGGAGAGGATTGGCTTTTAAAACCTTAGATATATTTTGATCATTTCTGGTCTTTGATATGTGTCTCCTGTTAATGAGAAGAGCTCTCAGGTCTGTTCTCACCAGGAATAGTACCTGACTTTCCATGGGTGGCCCGGTGGTCTGCCTGCTTTGCCTGTATAAAAGTAGTTTTTTTTTTTTTTTTTTTTTTTTTTTTAATTTGTTGGTTGTGAGGCTTGAATTCTGGGCCTGGGTGCTGTCCCTTAGCTCTTCAGCTCAAGGCCAGTGCTCTACCACTTGAGCTACAGTGCCACTTCCAGTTTTCTAGTGGTTTATTGGAGATAGGACTCTCACAGTCTCTCTTGCCTGGGCTTGCTTTGAACCGTGATCCTCAGATCTCAGCCTCCTGAGTAGCTAGGATTACAGGCGTGAGCCTCTGGTGCCTGGCTTAAAAGTAGTTTCTGAGAACTGCTTTTACTTTTCTGTAGAAGATAACAAAACTCCTTAGATTAACCTGGTTATTTATTTTTAGGGAGGCAATAAAGAGGTTAATAATTTTTAAGTATTTTTGTTACATTACAATAAGAAATATGCTTTGTATTATTACCTAGTACATAAAGCATATTTCACAAAATGTTTGCATTCTGTATATGCTTTGCAATAATTTCCTGTTCTGTACTGAAATTTTATGAAATGCTAGTCATGATACCGTACATTGATTTGACAAGCCCCTAGTATGTTGTGATTGGCAGGTGAAAGTACCTGTACACTCCGTTAGTATCTGTGAAAGATTGGCCCTAGGACCTAGGAAGAGAACAAAATCCACAGGTACTCAAGTCTCTTAAAATGTGGTCTTATTTACATGTAATTTACGTATATATACCTTTAGTCTTTGGATTGTCTCTGGACCTGCTTACATATACACTGTAAAGGCTAAGTACTAGTTACACTGTGTTGTTTAGGAAATTACAAAAAGGTTTAATATAGAGACTTTTTTATCTTTGGTTGGATGCTTGAATATGGATATGGGTGGTCAACTGTATGGGGCTGAGAGTCTGTATATAAGATCTTGGAAGGATATATATTATTGGAAAAGTTTTTGGGGCTGGGAAGGTGGCTTAGTGGTAGATTACTTGCTTTGCATGGATAAGGTCCTGGGTTCGATTCCTCAGCACAACATAAGCAAAAAAACCCGAAAGTGGCGCTGTGGCTCAAATGGTAGAGCACTAGCCTTGAGCTGAAGAGCTGAGAGACAAGGCTCAGGCCCAGAGTTCAGGCCCCACGACTAACAAAAAAAAAGTTTGTAAATTTGCTCTGAAATTTTGTAGTTGTTGCCTTGTTATTCTATTTCTCTATGTTGAGCTGTAGTTTCTCATTGGTGTCAAAAGGGATACTCATGGGTTATCTTGAAGATTAAAAGAAAAATCCAACCATAAAGTATCAAAATCATCTGAAGCTTAGAGTCTTTGGCTTATTCCTATACTCCTAGCTACTCAGGAGACTTGAGAACTGAGGATTTTGGTTTGAAATCAGTCTGTGCAGAAAAATCTGTGAGGCTGAGAACATGGCTTAGTGGTAGAGTGCTTGCATGAAGCCCTGGGTTCAAATTATCAGTATCACATAAACAGCAAAAGCCAGAAGTGGCACTGTGGCTCAAGTGGTAGAATGCTAGCCTTGAGCACAGAGAGGCTCAGAGACAATGCCTAGGCCCTGAGTTCAAGCCCCAGGACTAGTAAAAAACAAAAACAAAACAAAAAACAACAAAAAAACCCAGCCAGAAGTAGTGATGTGGTTCAAGCGGTATAAAGTACCAGCCTTGAGCAAAAGTCAGGCAAGAGCATGAGGCCCTGAGTTCAAGCCCTACTACCTGCACAAAAGAAAACTAACAAAGTAAGCCAGGCGCCAGTGGCTCATGCCTATAATCCTGGCTACTAAGAAGGCTGCAATCTGAGGATCCAAGGTTCAAAGCCATCCTGGCCAGGAAAGTCCGTGAGACTCCTATCTCCAATAAAATCATTCAGAAAACCAAAAGTGGTGCCGTGGTTCAGGTGGTAGAGTGGGTAGCCTTGAGCTGAAGCGCTTGGGACAGCGCCCAGGCCCAGAGTTCAAGCCTCACGACCCACAAAAAAAAAAAAGGAAACCAAAAAGGCATTTGAATTAGAGAGCGTAGTGAATAAGATTTGTATAAACCTAAGGCAGACATACATAACCAAGTCTGTGAGACCTTTATTCACAAATACAAGCCGGGCCTGGGGGTCGATGGCTCACCTGTAATCCTAGCTGCTGAGGAGGCTGAGATCTGGAGGATCAAAGTTTGAAGCAGCCTGGGCAGAAATGTTCTCAAGGTTCCTCAGAACTTCAGTTAGACAGATGGGGCTGGGAAGGTGGCTCAGTGGTCGAGCTCTTGCCTTGCATGCATGAGGCTCTGGGTGCGATTCCTCAGCACCACATAAGAAAAAAAAAGCCGGAAGTGGCGCTGTGGCTCAAGTGGTAGAGCACTAGCCTTGAGCTGAAGAGCTGAGGGACAGCGCCCAGGCCCAGAGTTCAGGTCCCACGACTGGACCCCCCCCCCCCCCCAAAAAAAAAAAGAACTTCAGTTAGAAAAAAAACAGGGATGAGAAGCATGGCTCAACTGGTAGGACATCATGTGTGAGAAAGTAAAATGAAAATTGACTATGAGGTCCTGAGTTCAAGCCTTGGTTCTTGAGGGGAATGCAAAAAAACAAAATCTCAAGCTGGTATGATACATGCCTGTAATACAAGTCCAAGTCCAGTCCAGGCAAACACTTGAGATTTTATCTGAATAACAAAACAAAAAAACTAAAAACAAAAGGTTTTGAGTGCTGGGTGCCGGTGGCTCACGCCTGTGTCCTAGCTTCTCAGGAGGCTGAGATCTGAGGATCGTGGTTCAAAGCCAGCTTGGTCAGGAAAAGCTGTGAAACTTTTTTTTTTTTTTTTGTCGGTCG